ACTTTTGCTAGTGTATGTCCTTTCTGATGACTTCGTTCATGAGATATTCTCCTCCGGTTTTTGGGTGACACAGCGTGGATTGAGGACTGTGTAGCTGTGTAGCCTTCATCAGTTTTATCACAGAGAGAGAGAGAGAGAGAGAGAGAGAGAGAGAGAGAGAGAAAGAAAGAAGAGCATCTTCTATAGCCTGGCAGACACGAGAGAAAAAGATTAGAGATAGGGGGGAGAGAGAGAGTCCTTGTTATGGTGGCTAGAGAGAAAGAGTGCGCCATGGAGGAGAGGGGAGGGGAGGTGAGGTGAGGTGAGGTTAGAGAGAGAATAAGTGACATCTTTATGACCACGGGACTTGGGGAGGCACATGGGACAATCAATGACACACTAAAGTTGATCTCATAGGCACTTGCAATGGATTTGTTTGCCCATGTCCGACTTGGAAATATCAAAAGGGCCAAAAGAAGCGAGCACATTGACAAATCCGAAGCCGACGAGGAGTTGGAGGTTTTCGTCCTCGTATCTGCCTCACACGACTCCGGAGTCCGGGCCTAGCCTCATCGATTTCTGTCGTGGAAGGCTCAGTAGCTTTCTTTTCTAGATCGCATCAACACAACAGGCCCGTGCCATGGATGATATAATCCAACCGTGATCTAAGCAAGTAAAGCATGAAACATCCTGCAAAGCCGCGGCCCGAGCGATCATTGTTTTTGCGTCACTTTAGGCACAAGCGACCTATAAACGTGGTTGACCGCACTGATGAAAGGATGTCATGATCATGACAGGATGCAACCGCATGGGGTCCGAGATTCATATCTCGGTCAAAGGGTGCGATGGACACCACACACCAGCCGCGATCGCCACCTCGGTCCCACAAGTCTCATGTCCGCTTCATTCGTTCTCTCGAGTCTTCCTCCTTATATCCACTCGCTTTTCCATGTTCACCGGACGAACCATGACTCGGAGCAAGACTTGTCTGCAGCCTGAGCGTGATCGGAGTTCGAGTTCGAGTTCGAGTTCGAGACTGAGACTGCTTCATGATCTCGCTCGCTCGCTCGCTCCAAAGCAGATCATCACAAAGTACGTTTGATTCCAACCTTTGTCGACCTCTTCCCTTTTCCTTCTAATAGCCTTTCGACTGTGTATCAGCACATGATCAGTGAGTGAGTCGGAGCAGCAGAAAGCATATAATTGTGCCTCAATATGCTCACGACATTCCTCTCAGCTCAGAGAGACAAATTCGAGTCCGTATCGTGGAACAGCTTGTTATGCAACGCATCAATATGCATAATGATCCGACTCGACATTTATTCCGGAATTTTACAAGTGCATCTCATACTTTTGTGGAAGGGAGAGGCGAGAGCGTTCCAATCGTCGCTGCGTCTGTGCGAAAACAAAGTTCCGAGCGCTCATCCGTCTTCGGCCGGGGAAAGAGGATTTGGGTAGTTCTGGATATAAGCTCTTTTCGGAATCCGAGTGCTTTCCGAGCTCGGCCAATGCGCACCCTCCGTGCTGCACAACTTTTGTTCTGTGCAGCGATCGAGCTGATAGGTCGAGGGGATCTCGACGCCTTTTTGTTTTTTGCACATGAAATTGCTCGACATGTGTGCACGAATGTTTTTAGGCGTATGACAAATCTGTGACTTTTTGCTGCAGCGCTCCATATCTAGCCAGCACTCGAGATATCAAGTTGCTGGCATGCATATCAACACTCTGTTTTGCGTGTGGTCGAGCTCGCCATAATGTACTGGGTGATGATGTCCGCCAATTTTGCCTTATCGGGTTCTTATTCTGCCTGCGAGAAGTGCACAGCCCCTTGACGATGCGGGGCGTGTCCCAGGTACCTGCTTTTGGGCAATGATTCAGTTGGGGTTCAGCTTTTCGAGCATGTCCACGGAGGGCTGGTGCTTTCGGGGCTGTGGCCGTCCTTTGCCATGTGAGAGATGGACGCTAGGCCCTTGGGCTATGCGCGTGAAAACTTGTTTTTTAGTAAGGTGAGGATCTGCAGACTCTAGAGGATTTGGAGCTCCTCTGGGGCGGGGGGAAGCGTGTGTGCATCTGCTGTCGAGCGAGCGACGACGAGATGACAGATGCACCGGCGCGATCACGAGTAGCAGAGGCAGAGCAGGAGGCGCACCGCTTGCATGGAGGAGCGCCATGGGCGAGGGCGAGGGCGAGGGGCCCCTTTAATTTGAAGCCAGCGAAGGCCTCGCCTCCGGACAGAGGCGGTCAAAGGCTAGGGGGCCAATATTCGGCAACAGCGGACGCCCGCAAATAATTGTAGATCGGAATCTGAAGGCTCATCATGCGCACCCAGGACAACATTCTGCAAAGCGCATTTCGTAACGACATCGGGCGTAAAATATTGGCCCCGAGCACATCAGACTAGGACGGGCGGTACAGCGGCACGTCCTACGGTAGAGCGCTATCGTGCTACCGTTATCGAGTTCTCGCGTTGGCGCTGATAATAAAGGCTAGGCGCTGGTCAAAATGCCAGATGCAGTCCCTGGCCAGTCAGGCCGCCTCGCTCGACAATGTTCGCCTTCGTGGGGGGCCGACGGTACGACGGGCCGGAGGTGCGACCGAGGCTCTGAGCCTGCCCCCAACGTCACGCCCGTGCAGACAAAGTAGGGCGCTCATGCAGATCGAGTAAAGGCTTGCGCGAGTAGCTTCGCTTTGCCCCAGTTGGTAGCCGTCATGATCGCTCGGTTTGCAGCCCCGCTTCAGCATGACGTCCGAGGTATGACCTGCATGGGCGCGCCATTAATCCGCGAATCTCGTCCCGAATATGTGCCCCCGCCCCTGCCCCCCTGCCCCCCCCCCCTGACCGCTGACTGCTCTGCTTTCCCGCTCGGCCCCATGATCCACACATGCACACATTCATAGATCCGAGTACCCAAGGCTTCGAATGAATGAATCCTCGAATCGAATCTCGACTCGACTCACGTTCCATCTGCTCGGCCTTTCCATTTCGTCGATTATCTGTTTCATCGGTTTCTCAGTGCTGTGGGCCAAACTCGCCGGTGGCCCCGGAGGGAGGGAGGGAGGGACTGGACTGGACCGTCGGCATAGCTGTCTAGCGCCGGACCGGTTTTTTGGTCGTACCATGCGGCTGAGTGGAGTACTCATGGCTGTGAAGTCGGAGCTTGGTATGATGTTCTGGAGCTTGCGGAATTCAGAACCACGAATCGATCTCTTCTCTTCTCTTCTGTACTTGGCCTGAGGGAGCTCCGGGGGTTGGGGGGTCTGTTTCACCTCCGTTTCCTAGTTGGGAGAAAAACAAAGCGCTTCGGAAACCCACTTCGAATCCAAGAGCCAGATTTGGGCCAGACGGTACCGCATACCCACTCAATGCTGGACGCCTCCATTTTCAGACGTAGGTCTCTCTGCCTGCGGAGTTTTGTTGCCCAGCCGTTTGAACTTTGAAGACGAGGGCTTGAAGGGCTTAGTAGATCGCCTCTCGTGATCCACAGTTTGCATTGAAAAGGGTACGTTTGGTGCGAGATCTGAGTGCATGCAGCCTCAGGGTCCGGGTCAGGGTCAGGTTCAGAGTCCTTAGCCAGAGGGTACTACTGGTGTTGCATATTATGCTGGCACCTTGTTCATACCACCTGTACTTCTGACTGAAGAGATCTGCTTGTACTACTTTCTCGCTCAATCCTACCACTGCTGCTGCTGCTGCTCCTACTACTACTACTACTAGTCGCAGTCTCTTTGCTGAGCTCTGCCAGACACTTTTCGCTTTTCTTCCTCTCAGGAAGCACGGACTTCCTACGGTGCTGTACCGACTGTGTCTGTGGGAGGCTCAGACGCACTTACTACTCGAGACAGCGGAATCTTTCCCTCCTCTTCACATCCTCTGGCCTTGTCGATTCCATGCTTTCACAAATAATCATCGACTGGTTGCATGAGTTGTTGAGCTCCACGAGAAGTTTAAGATGCAGCGTCGGCCAGCCATGGCGGATAACCGAGAGTCTGGTCACGTACAGATTGGTACAGGACAAAACCTTTCTCGACCATGCATGAATTGATTGATTGACTGATTCATATTCCACGAGACATCCGAGGACGCTTCCATGCGTCTGGGACGCTTGGAAGCGCAAACTGCATCGCACAGATCTAAAAACTCTGCAATGAGACACAAAAAAGCCCTCATGCTCCCATGAAGATGACATACATGCCCAGCGGAGTAATGAGCGTCTGTATGAACATGAACATGAACATGAACGTCTCCAGGAAGATTTTCTTACGTAACTCGAGCCAGGTTTCGACGTTTTAGACAACGGCATGTTATTCGATTCAGGCTTCAAACCTTCTACTTTTGTCAGTGCACCAGCATTCATTTCCCATCCCATGAAGTGGGAACTTCGCGACATGACTATACCCAATTAAGACTCCATTCTCATTTCGAACTTGGTGATGCCACGGGCTCACCAGTAGACGGCGTTTCAAAGCCGAAACAAGGTCAACTGTGGACACAGGTCCCGCAAATAGTCAAGGGGTCTCGAGCGTGCATCTTATGTTGCCAGAAGAGTAGAATGTCTCGACAGCTGAACCAACTCTGCACTTGTGCTCGGCCAGATTCAGATCTTCACGACCCTAAAGATACACGGCCTCGGTGAGCTGGGCTTCTACTCCTGCAGTGTGTGATGATTGTGTGGCAGGAAATCCGTCGTTTTAGATCTCGTCTCCGCAAAGGTGCTCGTTCGAGTACATTTCGACACTCAAGTGCCGACAGGGTGGGCGAGGGTAGACGTTACGACGGTCTGCCATGAATGACTGTCCGGTCATGTACCGAGAATAGGGGCTGTCGTTCGCTTACGAAATCACTTGCATGTAGCGAAATTTTGTCTACAGATTCCCTGGCCTACATCCTGACAATGCAAATGGACCCGAGAATCAGAACCTAGAGTAGGGCAGTCTTTTAGTGTTGTGTTCTGTACACATTGTGGCATTCACGGTTGTTACAACTTGAATGTGAACTCGTTTCAGCTCGCAACAATTTGCGGGCTGAAGCTGATCTCATTTCACGTCTCCAGGTTCTAGGGCGTCAGGTGTGTACCAAGGTGAAACCGTATTAGAATTTCAACTCACGATGCGTTCACAAATACATGAGCCTCTCAACAAGTTCACAAAAGCAGTTGCAAGACCCTCTACTCTCTCCAGCAGTCTTCCGTACATACATATCCAAACTGTCATGTACGTGAGGGCGGCGGGCGCCAAAGGATTTTGATGGAGCTAATCATATGTTCGGACTCAAGGCCCCAATAAATGACTGCACCCGGAAATCTGGTTCACTGAAAGACAGCCTTCGAAATCGACATTTCCAATTCAGACCCTTTTTGGGGGTGAATAAAGCCAACAGAGTACAACTGTTCGAGGTTGGCTCTCCATAGCTTAGTCGACTCAGTTTGGTTTTCTGCAGTGAAATCCGATGAGGAAATCTCCAATATACCTCTGAAAACATCGCCTGGGTGATATATAATTCACAAACACAGTGAAACTCTCTACACTTGGGAACTTACTCTTTCTGTACATACTAAGCCTCTTTATTCAGAGCTACGCCTTTGGTGCCTAGTGTTGACAGTGGCAACCATACCGGCCCATGTTGCGCATGAGATATTCGATCCCAAGGAAGTTAGGCACGCCTCTCAATGTACGAACCTGAGAGCCCCGATGTCCCCAGAAGAGCGATCTGCACCACTTACATCATGGACTTAGTTAGCCCCCGGCAGTCACTTCAATCACAACGATTCATGAGAGAGTAAAATTAAGCAACAATACGCGGGACCAACCCATAGCCAAAGATTCAAGTACCAGACACTCAGTATTTTTCAGATGTTGTCCTCTAATACTATTTTCTACACAGTCCCTTGAAACATAAAAGTCCATTGCAATCGACCATGTAAGAATGTCCGCATCAATCCCTCATGGGATTAAGGTTTAGGATCTATGCAACCCATCTAAAGAAGACAGGCACTGGTGAGATATAAATTCCTAGTGATATAAATTCCAACTCACCAGTACAAATGCAAACAAATCAAGAAATGCATTCCGCTGCTCCATTAATTACCATTTGTTCGGGAAGACACGGTTCTGAACAGTCTCTCCTCGCTTGAAAACCTTAACATTAGATCAATCGAGACTGATTGTGTTCCAAACCCAAACCCAAAGAAGAGACAGTCCCCTTGTCTATAGAAAGCAACTTCAAGACGCACGTCCATGCGGTAAACTATCCGTGGTTAGTGTTAACAGCTTCTCTCTCATAACCACGAAAGTGAATCGAAATGATGATTGGAAGAGACTATGTGCTCGATCGCACCAAGTGCGAGTGCCTTCGGGCACTCGGACCTCTCCTTCTGGTTTCCTACCTATAAAAAACTAGCATTGATATTCAATTTCACATGGGCATTTAAGGCATCATTGACCACTAGAGCACTCAGATGCAAGCGCTTCCAGCGCTAGGATGCAATGAGCCATCTCCGGCTTACTGATCAATTTCAACCTCAGTTGAACACCACTAGTTTAGAAAAATTCCAGTGAATGGTTCCCCGACTGAGCAGATTGAATTATGACTCCCAAAACGAAGAAAAAAAATTCAGGAGTTCTCGGTTGTTACCTTCCCCCATTCAGGACCCAGGCCACTGCAACGCTGCTTGATCTGCAATAGAATACCTCCCAGCTCATTTTGCACCTTCTTTTTCAAGAAGTCTTCATCCTCGCTGAAAGATGCCAAATATGCTTGGTACTTGTTGAATGCAGAATCCAGTGCCTTCAGCAATCCGTCTGGCATTCTTCTCACAGTCTGCGGATCGATCGGAGTTTTCAATAAACAAAAATTTAAAATTTGTGTAACTGATATTTACTTCTCGTCCTACAAAAGAATTCCACAGAAGAATATGTATGCTTCGGACATTGCATGGATTCTACGTATAAATGACGAATCGCATCCTTGACAGGTCGTCCCTCTGCTCCATGGTCTGATGTCACGTACTGCTGGGTAGTCGATTTGATCAGCCCATCATATTTGAAAGCATTTGCTTCAAATGTTTCAAAAGATAGAACCATTTCTAACTAAAATTTTTTACGAACAACAAGAGGTTTTATGACCTTTTCTTGTATTTTTCTATTAAACGTCATAGAGAACGAAAAAAGGACTCACACCTCGCCACTGGATCCGTTGAGCTCATCAAGTTCCATCCTCAGGTAGAGCAGAGTGTCAGCAAACTTCTCCACTGCTTGAGCTGAAGACCACACCGTCGATAGCGTTCCATCTCCGCTTTTGGCTAGCGCACCTTCGACTCCATCCTTGATCTCTTTGTGAATTTTTGCCCAAGTCGTTGCTAAGAGTGCATTGAGAGCCTCATCTGAAGCAGGATCCGAAAGCTTCGGCACTACACTAATATCCGAGCTCATGCGCCTCACTCCAGACCACATGTTCGTAGACACCAGGTTATTTGAAGCGGGTCTAAAAGCTGCATCTGGAAGGTAGAAGCACCATGATTACGCAGTTTTCAGTGAACAAAACTCAATATACAATATTTGGGCAAAGTTCAAGATATCTCGCTATTCCTCTTTATCTTCAATTGAATCCCACCGTATTCTCCTTGATATGTCAGAGAGCTAAAGATCTTTGATCGTGATGAGTTTGATTATCTTCAATGTTGGGGCAATCTCCGATACCTGCTTCACATTACACTAAACTCGTTTTCAAGCATAATATGACACCCTGTCGTCTTAGACTTCCATTCTTATTGTCACGACGAGTCCTTAATATTATTACAGGCCAGTTCACAACTTCGGCAAATTGCTATGATGCTCTCAAGACACAAGGTCATTTGGGTGATATGATCGACTTCTCGACACGTTGCATGCTCTCGGAGACTGCAAGACTCGGAGACTTAGACATTGTAGCAAGTTTGACAAGAACAAGGACGAGGCTGTTGCCATAGCAATTGGCATACAGGTAGATTACAAAGGTTGGTCAAATGTGACTAAACGGAAAACTTCGCAGTCTAATCCACCCAAACGAATCCAAAGCTGTAATCTGGTCAAACGTGATTTTTGTTCACTTCAACAAACACTTGGGCACTTATTGTCCAAGTCAAGTTTCAAGACGCCAAGCAACTGAAAAGGAATACAGGTAATTTCAAGTCTCCAGGAAATGAATTGGTGGAAAAACGTTATATTGCCCATAGAGCTCAGATTCAAGTAATTTGCTGGACAGCGGTCCCTTGATGTCATGATCAGCTGCACAAAACCTAATGCAGAAAGCTAGATGCAAATCCGAGCAACAGACATGAAGATCATCCACTTCACGATGATTTACTCTAATAATATGACTGCATCCGTCACCAAGTCTGGTACATGAAAATCTGCCATGTCTAATCACACGACAGATCATATCCCGCGACCTCCTCACCGGATGCATCGAAGAAGAAGATGTCGTGTCCTAGAGAACCGCTGAGTACAATGAAGATCCTCATAGGAAAAGGTATACACCAGGCACGCAGAGGCAGGAATGGTGATATTATGAGTGAACTCGTACTGAAAGAAATAATATTCCTTATTGAGGCATTTGATAGACATTTCTCCAAAATATAAAAAATCCTGCCGAGCGTAAATGAAGTTCGTATAAGTGATTAACATGTTGAAACTAGAAGGCTGTGAGGCGACATGAGAGAGAATCTCGCATACAAGGGAACAAGTTTGAACTGAAGCTTTTCTGAGGAGTTAGTTCGTGCTGTAAGAAACCCAATCGAGTAGATCATGATCGCACGCTTGTCTCCATCTGACCCTACGACTCACCCGATGGGAAGTGGTTCAATTGCGCGGGATTGATCGGGGAAGAACCCACGAGAACCCGCAGAGCGCCGTGGTGATAGTTTCGCGCAGCGCGTACTAGCAGTGGCGCCGCTCTCCTGCTCCATGCCATCGCCATCTCTGCTCCCGGAAATTCCAAAGCCAATACTCCCAAACGGGAATCCGATGATCACCTCCCTCGCTCACTGAATCGGCTCCTCCTCGGGGTGGATCTCAGTGAACGATCACAAGCTCTTTGCTCTGCTCTGCTCGCTCGCAAGACCCTTGCTCGGCTCTTCTGCTGTCTGTGGCTTTTCCTCTGCCTCGTCCGAGCGTGTTCCTCTGATTCCACAGTACGTACCGACCCTCACCTGCGCCTGTCTATTTTCTCTGCTCCTCATCTATTTCGATATTTAGGACATGCGAGCCTTTGGTCCAGTGGGCAGGCCGAGCCAGGGAGGGAGGGAGGGAGGGAGGGCGAGACGGACCTTCGGCTCCCCTGTTGCGTCCAGGCTCCAGGCTCCAGGCAGGTACGTACTTCCTTCCTTGCTCGCTCGCTCGCTCGCTCGCGCTGTTCCTGTCAGCAAAGTGTAAACAGCTTCTTGGTTGTGACAAGTCAATACACTACACCTCAGCTCCGCTGCGACTGGCTCCACGTTCGGCCCCTGCGCCGGACGGAGAGTCTTGGACGTCGCGACCACGAGCTTTCCGTCGCTATCACCACCGCCGTCGCGACGGCGCCAAAGAAGGCGTGAGTGATTCGGCGTCCGAAGTGGAGCTGCATGAACGACCGACCCAACCAACGATCGATCGTTCGGTAGTTCCCGAACTTGCTTGCCCAAAGAGGCAATAATAATAATAATATTAATAATATTAATAATAATACCTTGACGGAAGGGAAGGCATTCAGCTGTTAGCTGTTGGGCCAAGTCGGGCCTTGGTCACTCCGTCTCCTCTTTGGCCCCTTTGACCATCCCTCTCTCGCGGAACAAATTAAGTTGCTGCCGCTGGTGGCGACAAGATCAGGCCCATATTAATTATTTGGAAGGAAACAAACGCTCGCTCCGTCCGTCCACCTAACCCGACAACGGTTGCCGACTGGAACCGGAGTTGGGCCACGCGCGAGCGCATTCGAACAGGAGAAACTCTAAATGAACCGGAGTTAGGGGCGGGCGGACGGACGGAGATGCAAAAGCGGTACCGTCGCGGGTGAGGCTCGACGTTGTATGTATCATGATGATCACAACAACAACAACAACAACAGCGACACAGAACAGCGTAAACACGAACTCACGCTCACTCTCTCGCTCTCTCTCTCTCTCTCTCTCTCTCGGGCCCGCGCACAACTTCAACCAAAACAACAATTCATTGCGAAATAAGCGACCCCAGCTCCGTCCACGCCTCGAGCTGCAGAGCCGAGCCGAGCAAAGCAGTGCAGGTTGTGGCACACTGGATTGCAGAAAGATCAGCAAAGATCGAACGTGGTGCGAAGCAGCGAGCCAGCCTGCGACGAGACACGAGAGCCGGGAGGGTTGCAGACTTACACCTCGCGCTGCTGTTATTTGTGCTGCTGCTGGTGCTGCTGCTGTTGTTGCTCGCAGGGACGGGAGGACGGAAGGGAATCGGACGAGGATGAGGACGAAGAGGAGTCTGTATTTATTTGTGTAAGCCTGGGAGTGTGTGGGCAGTTGGATTTTGGGTTCACTCAGAGTTCGAGGCAGGCAGGCAGGCAGGCAGGCAGGCTCCCAGGGAAATGTTGTCTGGTGGTGTCCGAGGACGAGCAGGAGGATTAGAGGGACCGGGCCGAGACGTCGAGGCACGGAACGCGGCGGAGAGGTGGACGACGACGACGACGACGACATAGTCGAGTGAGCAGATAAACATCGAGGACATATTTCGGACATATTCTAGGCGCTGGTGTCGTAGGAAAGTATGCATTGGACTTTCCAGAGGATTGTAACGCACGAACTTGGCCGGGCCTAAAGAAGTCCGAGGTGTCCGAGGCAGAGCGGAAATTTCAGTTTGAATTGGAATCACTGGCACAGGAATGTTGGTATGCGTGGATTGTCGAGGCCTGTAGGACGGTGGACGTTGGCGGGTGCAGGCAGTGGATTGTCGCAGCCCAAAAAGAATTGGCTCGACCGAGTGTACATTGCGTGTTTTATTACCCGAGGAAGAATAGCTATGGCAGCTCAGAAGCTGTTCGGGGCATATCGTCAGTCTCCGTCCGTCTTTTATACCGACGTCGACCTCGACTAGAAATCCCTTGCCTCTGACAATTAGCCGCTCACTCGCTCAATTAGTCGTTACTTGCAGCGGCCAAGTCCAAATTTTTGAAATTGGTCGTCGGGTCGGCAATTGGACGATTAAGAATCGCGGGCAAGGTGGGCTCACTGGCCAGCAGATCTGTGTCTATCGCCAGTCCGAGTATAGCGTGAAAAATTTAGGCAGTTTGGAGCTGAGGATTGCTTTATTGCGAAGCAGGAGAGCAGTCCAGGTTTCGTTCATCTATATCGTGGGCGCGAGTTGAGTTGCATGACATGGCGGACCACCTTGACTCCTTCTCCAATGGCACTCCCAACGAGTAAGTTGCCGACTTTGAATCACTTGTGTCGGGGCCCGCCCACTGTCTCTAGTTTGTGATGTCGTGAGGGAAGCTACAGATGAAAGTCTTCAGAACAACACACTACGCAATTCATGGACATGATGTAGTTCCTGGAGGTCTGGTTCCACTTTCAGTGACATTTTTAATTGATGATCGACGAGCAGCACATGCCAATTGTGTCCCGCAAGAAGCTCTGTAGTTCAAAATATTGAGATCGACTTAAAATATATGCCACCATTTTAACGACTGCATGGTAATGTGTCGAGTCTTTTCCTACGGACCGTAATCATCGAAGTATGGAGGATGGAATATAGGAGATCAGAGGATTGCAACTCTCACCCTGACATGTTAAGCCCCAGACGATTCATCTGGACGTCACCCACCTTGGCCCGTCAATTCCAAATTTTCCAGGTCAAAATTCGAATCTGTAGGTTAGACGATGGTCTCGCCGTATTGAACATTGACGAAAAGTTCATGAGAGGAAGCTCTGTCTGGAGGCTATTCACCACCGCCACCTATGTCAAATTCAAGGTCTCCGAGTGATTCAGTAGGTCAATGGACGTTTGCATGAATTTTTGCAACGTAAAGGAAAAATGCGCAAACCCAAGCTGTCTGTCTGCAGACGTGTAGGGCGGTGTCCTAGCTTCGTAGCGCCAGCGGTTTAGCCTCGTACATTATCACGAATCCATATGATAATCAATGTAAGACCAGATGCAAGTCCACTCAACTGAGAACTTCAGGGTTATCCATTGTTCCCGATCACGTGGTAATGCAGTACTATCATACCCTAAAGACTACACGGGAGACAGAGACGATTCCGCTGCCCTGCCCTGTTTAGTTCTGCTGTCTGCGGCAGACATCCAAATTTGGGTTGCATACTTGGAAAGCTTATGGAGCAGTTTAGAAATACTATCATTTTTCCAGCAACTTGCCTTCAGTAGTCGAAATGTACGACAATCACGTGAACAGGAAGCTTTGCGATGCGTCAATATTGTTATCTTGCTGATTGTATATGATGTGTAATAGTCTGACTCGAGAAACAACGATGCACATCTCTGTTTAAGTAAGATCAAGATAAGCAGAAAACAGATGAAGTGGGCAAAAGTCCCAACCAATTCATATTCACCCTCTCGTACGTTTGTCAGTGTTCAATCTCTCACAATCCAGAGTCTCTTTAATTGTACTAACCATCTGTTGTTTTGCAATTGCAGATATGTCACCGTTTGTCTGTCCGAGATACGTAAAGAGATGCAGTGCCCTATATGTCTGGGTAAGAAATCAGAGTGATTTATGCACCACACATGCTAACGCTGAAGTTGATAGAATAAATTTCGTACTTCAAACAGGATGTGAGACTGCATCACTTCGGTTCTTTGATGTAACCTACAGAACTTCATCTCAAGCCGTTTATATTTGCCTCTTGTACAACCATGTGAAAGTCATATCCTTGTACAGTGGCAGGATTTGATGCCAGTACGCACGCTAGTTGAATTGTTCGTTCGTATTTGAATCGCCTTAAGCCTGCTCTAGCCTTCAACCAGTCAATTTCCGTGTAAATGGTTATTGAATACTCCACAGGCCCTGAAACCTGCATCACAATGTGTCGTACAGATCCAATCATAAAAAGGGAACTGTCTGAAACGAGGGTCTCTCTTAGCTTCCATTTTGGGTTTTCCTACCGATAATTTGTTCTCACCTGTGGATTTCTGTTTCCTGGAGTCAACGTAGTAACATTTTCAATCATCCTTGTTATGCCCAACTGTTGTTTGGGAATTAATTTTCATTCTGGACCAGAAAGGACCTGGTTTTTCTTCACCTTACCAATAGAGTACAAACACAGAACGCGTATGGTGCGCATGTTCGTAATACATGTTATGGTATACTTCGTTCTTGTTATGGCTATACTTAAATTCCAAGTCCTGCCCATCTGGTTACGAACCCGTAGGTCTATAGGCGCTAATTTCAACGTTTAGAATCGAGTTGCGTCAGAAATTGTGATGATATCATTTGTCTAGTCCTATTGGTATTCAAATGGTTTGTTATAACTCTGATTTGTTTCAACCATATCAGGAATCATCCGGAAAACGCGTACCGTAATGGAGTGTCTTCATCGGTTCTGTAGAGAGTGTATTGATAAGTCAATGCGACTTGGGTAAGTTTTAGCAGCCAAGTCATACTTATAACAGCAGCGGTATTTGGATCAATGTTCAAAACTGAATGCAGTAACAAGTGCAAAATCTTTCATTAGCATCAGACGATTGCGTCAATTGATAACGTACTTATTTGGTAATTCTTCCCAGTCTGGCGTGTTTAAACATATTTTCTCTTCCGTATTTGCAGGAACAATGAGTGTCCTGCTTGTCGAACACACTGTGCCAGTCGTAGATCTTTGCGGGATGATCCAAAGTTTGATTCCCTAATTGCTGCCTTGTATCCAGACCTCGAGAAATATGAAGAAGAGGTAAGTTTTCTTCCAATAATTGCTTTTTTTTCAGAAGCAAGAAATTCAAAATCACATATTGCTCTGGGCTTCGTACAACTAGGATGAGCTGAAGTTTCCTGGATGATCAGAAAGTGCAATAAGCTGGAGCCACCGTGCTTAAGATGTAGTCATGGCAAGTTTTGAACTCACCAAATATGAGCTCTGTATTCAGGAAATGGCTCTACTTGAGGACGAAACCCGTAGAAATAAACAGGTATGAAACAGACTATTGCGGGTCAAGCATGTTTATTATGAACATCGCAAATTTCACTTATCCTAACTTTAAGGAAAATCATTGTGATCGATGCTCTGTCTGTGTTTGAATTAACAATTTTAATCAGGCTAATACCAGCACGTCGACCATCTACCATCTCCATTTTTCTTTTAACAGGTAGTGTATAGACTTGAAGCTCATCTGAGCTTGTGGCTATGATTGAACAGATACAGGCTAGCATCGCGGAAACGTTCAAGCGCCAGTCAGAAGCAGTGGCAAGGAGGCGTGTTACAGCTAAAGCCACAGCAGCTGCAATAGTCAGGAAAGCCCATGGAAAATTCCGTAGCGTGCAGAGTAGGAATAGGGGTCCAGCTCCTCCAAGAAACAGTAGGGCTCGTGGCTCAAATTTGAACGGACCTCTTTCACCTCAGGAGGACTCAGAAAAAGAAGTGCCGCTGCCCGACTTACCCTCACAACCGCCTAGCAGCTCAGCAGATGAGGTTTATAAAGAACCTCCTAAAGAATCTTTGAAAGATGTGACAAAGGAGCCTGTCAAAGAGGCCCCAAAAGATCGTGCAGGTTGGAGGAAACGAAGAAGACCTCGTCATGTTGAACCTGAAAATAGCGACGACGAACCTATCAATACTCAAAACTGGCCTGAAGAAGAGTCGCATCAAGAAGAACAGAAGCTAGAAACGAAGATCGTTGACGATGTATCTCCAGCAAACAAAGGAGGGGTTCCATCTTGGGCCAGAGCTGGAGCTCGGAGTCAGACACGTTATGGGAGTGTCAGTGTCGGCAATAGTAATGTCAGACACGTCAACCGGTGTGTGCGTGCTACGGCTCTTTTGGATTATCTAACTTCAACAGCTCGGAAGGAAGATGAAGATGAGGTGAAACTTTTGGCCTGTTCTTCTGGTTATCATTTTATATAAACAGGTTTCTGTGTATGCCGGGAAGTGCGAAGATTAATTCCATGTAGCAATAATTTCTGAACATCTCAATGCAGTAGATATGTATCTTGAAGGTATTGTCAAAATCTATACTGGAATAAGCGAACAGGAACTTCCGCCTATACATTCAAATTCCTTGAGTTGTAGTCGTCAGGAGGCACAAGGATCTCGATGGTTCAAAAGATAGACACCCTATACAAGTTTGCCATTAAAGTGAACTTCATGTTGCTTTGTAGCTGCTGGGACGAGTCATAATATATATATTTGGCCACCTTATATTCTTGCTTGTTGCAACTGCAGTACGACATTCATTTGCATTTGCAGCCTCTTACTGGAGAATCTGACGACGAAGATGTCCTTCCTAATCTTGAACGGCCTTACCTTTGCTGTTCGCCAAACATGACGGTTCACAACCTTTGCAAGGTACTGCGAGACCACCAACACCTTTCAGCTGCCGAATTTCCTCGATTTTAAGTTTAGTGTACAGACTGTGTTGACTTTCGGAATGTTCGATGGTCGTGAGCGTATGAGCTAGAGTCTAGAATGCAAGGTGGTTTTATCTAGTTGCCACCAATTCTGACAACTTTACTGAACAGCATCTCGTGAACCGGCTATCTCTGGCACCCGGAGGAGAACTGGAACTTCTGGTCGAGAGAATTAGCGGACTCGTCGTAGATCAGGTTCTACCGGCTAAAGTTGCTAATTCGCGCCTAAACAAGTTGGCCAGGGGAAAGACATGGGCCTCCAGACCAGAAGGAGGCAAGATTGTGGAGGTTTTGCCAGCGAAATACACTCTCAAGTATATACTGTCACACTGTTGGGACAAAAGAGGTGACTTGGTGAGGTTTTTTCTCGCTCACGCCCTATTATTGCATGAGCAGAACAAGTCTATGTAGTTCGGGGAGGACAACTTAATTCTGGTTACGAATGATTTGCCAAGAAAGTGCACATATAGCCTAGAACGCTACAAGTCTTGACTGCTTGGCGCGGAGGTTTTTGTATTTAGCTTGACAAGATGTACTTTCTGTTTGCACCAGGATTTACTGTATCGACGCAAGTCATGAATATGAGCCAACAACAACGATATATCAAGGAGACATCGACAGACACATGGGGTAGCTTGACAGAGTTAGGTACGAAATTTCCGTATATTGGTATCATGCAGGCGACTGTTGGAAAATTCCAGGAATGCAAGTAGAGAATTTAGAGCGTTGGTGGAACACCCTTCTTATAGTGGAATCATTGAAAGGCACTTCGAATTATCCGCGTAGAAGGGCACGCGGGACAATCTTAGTTGTTGGCAGAGCTTCCCAAGGCGCTTAATATCAGCTTCGATACTCTCGCGAAAGTCCCCTGGAGCCTCATGCAAACTCAAAGATTGGAGTGCAAGAGATATAATTAGATGCTGAGAGAACCAATCTTAGTTACTTATTGTTCACACAATCCGGATCTTAGTCTCATATCATTTTAGAAGCTTTGTAGGTGACGTTAGAACTTTCTTTTATTCTCATGAACGGACCCAGGTTCCAGTTCATTGTAAATTTTCAAAGGCCTCAGCTTCCCTCTTTAGCAATACGTTGGAGGATGGGGTTGCCTCCTTGTACCGTATGCAGTTTCACACACGCTCCTTGTAAACCTTGTACGGGCAATATGTGGCTGGCTACAGTGGAATGGTGCATGGTTCATGGTTTGATGGTGCAGCAGATATTGAAAAGCGCCAAATGCATATGAGCTAGCTGATCTGAATTTCACACCCGAGTCCCTCCTGACATTGTCATGTTAGAAACTCATGTACCATCCGTAGTTTCTCAGATCAAGCGCATATAAGTGAAGTGTGTGTACGTTTTTGTATCCAAGTATCACTATCAAACGCACGTGCGGGTCAACAGAGATGCAGCTCAGAACATCAAAAGTTGTCTTCTCTCCGAAGCATGCCATGTCTCTGCACCACAGTTCGCCATCATGCATGCACGCAGCATGTTCGAACGCATCCCGAGGTCGAGACGGGAAACGATCTTATAGCTTGGCCCCAGCCACCGCATTCTAGAACAAACTCAGTGTTCCTGTTAACATGAGCTGAGAATGAAGGCGATAGTTATGAAACCGCTGTGGCGCCACTATCCATCGCCTTACTCTGGAAACCAATATCATCAGTGGGACGACTCGTCCTCTTGCTGGACTCTACCTGCGGCACATTCGTATATTTTTTATTGCTTAACCGTGAGTGTTGCGTCCTGTAACTTACATTGGACCAGAGGTTATGGGGCATGCACAGGGTTTGTATCGGACGCTTGCTTTCCCCTCTTGAAAGTATTTGCTGGCAGTGTAGCTATGCTCTTCTTCGTCGTACAATGGTTACGTTCAAGTCTTTCTGCCATACCACAACCGTTTGTTTGGATTGAAGTGCGTGTGGTTGGGTTTCCATCGTCCAGAATCGATGGTCGTTCTGGGAGAAGGCTTGATCAGCACATCCAGTGCACGCGAAGCTTCATGATGTAGGTCTCGGTGACAATGGACAATCGTAGTGAGGGATGAATGGATCAGCCAGAGGGGTATTGTAGCATGCTGGGAAAAGGGGAGCGAAGCCCAGGACAACCGCCATCCTGTTCAGCAAATTGAATCACGGTGCGTAGACGTGCATGTTCAACGTGATTGTTACTGGCTCGCGCACATTCGGCTAGCACCTTCAGGAGCGGATTCCTTCGAGATCATCGTGGACAAACGCTCACTTCATGGTGTGACTAACAAGCTTCCCACCAACACATCTGCGTCAGAATGTACGGGCGTGCGTAGCTGACACTTTCTCGCGAACACACTGTGAAGGCTCTATCGGAAACAGCTGCTTCTGCTAACAACTGTGTGTTATCGAGATTCAATCTGAGTTCAATCGTATCCACAGTCTGGGAGTGCACTGTGCCTTGGAATGATGTTGCTCTCTGGAATGATTGTTTGCTGCTTATTCACTAATTATTGCTACCAGTTCCAGACATCAGACAACGAAAACAAGCAGATTTGACACCGAAGCGGTAAAAATGTGCGAGTTCAGGTGCAGTACCAGAACGGGTAGAGCATAAGTGTTACATCTGGGGAAAGGTGGTTGGGGCTTCATTTCAGTTGTTGAGGGGTCTTATACAATGGTTAGTTCAAACTGGCGTGAATCGGTGCAAACATACTCAACCGAATTGGATAAGATAAGACAAAGGAAATATGATGTCGCATTGCCTCGACTGTCTGCAGTGACCATACTTGGAAGTCGACGAAACAGCGGTATTGATACATGAAATGCGGCACAAGTGTTGAACAAAATTGTATAATTTGTCAGAAAGAAGTTCATGCCTAAAATGGGATATACAACAAAGATGTCACTAGGGTCTGCGATTGACTGCAGACTGAACTTCACAGAGCGAGTAAAACTCGTTCATTGGGAACCTGATCTTCGACCAATCCGGGATGAGGAGGAATCCCGTTAATGTAACCGAGTCCACCATTGTTTCAAGGCCGCCAAGCCCATTCACTTCATCTCACATTCTCAGTCCCGCTTATTTACTTGAAAATGCTGCAAAGCAGGTCGCAACCAAGAGGTCAGTGTTTCTCCATGCATCTCCGCTTCGTTTTCCTGGTGGAGGTAAAACGGAGGACGTCTGGACGTAAGTCGGCTAGTTGACTGAGGAAAACTCAGCTACCATGGCCACTCATAAAAGCTCCTTAATGTCGTAACCCTGCAACTGCAAACAGGCCGCACCATATAGATTTCAGTCTCAATAACGAAGTGAATATTCATGGAACAACACTTCCATTTCATTCACTAACGTCCGGTTCAATACTTAGCACAGGCATCAATAAACTCAACAAAACCACACACAATGAAAATGCTCATCTCATTCCGCCGACTCAAAGCTTCAGACAAGAGTAACTTACGCGAAGCAGTGTCAAAACAACTACAACTCCTGAGTTCCATATGCAATGGATAAGCATAGGACAAGCCAGATTACGAGTCTGCGCATATGAAAACCCAAGTATGATTCCTGCATAGACGAAACCAAGACCACGTCGTGTCATACTAGCTGCTTCACGTTCAAGTGGTCCAGTCCCCTCTCGATTTCCTCCTGCTACCATCTCGTCTCTTGACACTAGCAAAGCTCAGCCAGGTATAGATATATCTCCCTCCTTCTTTAAACATCAGTGCGATCTATTTTGTAGTAAGATAATAACACTTCCAAACGCAGGCATTGATGCGGAAAAGCATATCGGCAAAATCCAAGAATGAGAGGGCGTGCGAGCGGGCCTCAAGTCCAGTACGCTATACCTAGGGCAAAGAGTTGAGGAAACTCCCCAGGCGTAAGATGAGCACCGGCAAATGCGATTGCACTGATTATTACTGCTACTGGTGTTGGCACCCTGTCATTCGGGTTGCCAAATGCACAGCGTCAGGTTGGGTTACCCAACGTAAGGACCAAATCATCACAATATTACTGCTATGGAACACACAGAAAGAGGAGGATGGGACAAGATGTACTTGTTCAATCTTCGCGTAGCCTCCAGAGCTGACATATATTCTATGTTAAGTTTCCAGCAACAACGAGAATCTAGCTCAGATCTTTTGTCACGAAGTTTTCGTGGCGGAAGAAACTTCACTGCCTTGGCTATCAATGTGTTAAGTCTTACTGAACGTACCACTTGGTTAGAGATGTCATCAAAAATCCTCGAAATACTGTCTCTTCCAGAAGGGGAGCTAGCACTCCTGTAACTCCTATCAAAGAGGCTGTGCTGCAAGGCCCAAACACAATATGGAATGTCACTTACGGTATAACTTTATTTTCCATCAATCCGTCACATTAATATGTCTTAGCTAATGTTAGAAAACGCGATTCGTGAACAGTCAGTAATGTAAATTGTTGTGACAGACCTTACAAACTTTTCAAAAATTAAACCCTGAATGTGGCAAAGTAACCAGCTAAGAACCAGCTATCTGAAGGAATTTCATCTTTGCAGTTCCAACTTCTGGTCAATACTTGTCAATGTTGAAATCGCACAAAACACCAGCTGCAAACTTATGCAGGTAATTTTTTGCTCCAGCCAAGTGTTTCTCCAAACTAGGCCTGATTGATGGGTCTCCTTTGCATGTGACGATAACTTATTGTTACCATTCAATTTCCGGAGCTAACACATGATGACAGTACTGACGGCTTCAAACGAAGCTAACGCAAGTATAAGTAGGTCAGATTGGAATCTAAGTGATTAACAGTCCTCACTAAATAATAGACCTTCGCATACTCCCGTACAAAAAGAGCTTGAAGATCTTTCAGCCAATACCTCAATGGTGAGGCGCCGATTATGGGCAGTAATTGAACTAGAGCATCTGTATCCTGCAGACGTCAGAAGGCAACTTCACGAGTCAGACTGAAATGTCAGCGTCAAATCCAGGACAGAGCGTACCAGACATATCTAAAGTGATATTCACTTTGGTCCGTATCAAAACCATATCAGGCCTTCAAGAAATTCCTAATACATGTACATGTTTCTTCTCACTGACGGACTAACCGACAAAATGTGAGTGACATCGATCGCAAATAACAGTCATATACCTCATCTACTATCGGCTAAACTGAACTCCAAATAAATGAACCGAGCGCAAAATAACTCAAAGAAGATAGAAATATATAATTTCGCTGCATAACAATGAACTCGTGAAGATAATGGACCGTCAAGAATTCAATTTCTCATTATGCCAATACGATGATGTAAGCCAGGTGTAACATATATAGTACGGCTTGGATTTTGGAAAGAAATGGTAACCTCCACTGACTCAATTCGAGTTTACTACTTGTACCACAATAAGGGGCCCCACGACTTACATCACGCGATGGTGGTTGACCGTTTATTGCTGCCGAGACATAACTCGCCGCCACAACAGCAGCACCAGAGCACAGAAGTCCAAGACCTCCCCAAAGGAGCCATCCCCGCTCCAAATTGAAAGGGGAGTTTAGTTCTACAAAAATAAAGCACAACCTCCGTCAATCCAGTCGCACTGTCATCCACAGTGCTGGGAATAAAAAGTCATGGGTGAGGTGGAAAATTTCCAGACTGGATTACTCCCCTGACTGGAACACTTTCTACGTACCGAATCTGAAAAGTCCGTCTGGAAGTGGCTTATACTTGTTCACAGCAAAATTTATGATGCTCAGTCCAGCAATTGTCTGCGCACTGCCATCATGGTGAGCAGATGAGTCGACGAAAGAGCATGCATTCGAGGCCACCGGTCCCCAGACCTTGTTCTCAGAGGGTTCCTCAGAGACAAAAGTTGGGCCACAATTACTAGTCAGTGTTTGCTTCAAAGCAAGAACAAATTCGCATTTTTTAGAATTTGTAAACTTTTGATGTTAATGCATGGGTTCCGTATTGAATCAAGAAGCAGAGTGCATAACCAGGACTTACAGCTGATGAATTAATATATACACAGCTTGATCGTCCAGACTCATATATTGCCTTCGCCCAATTCCAAATTGCGCAGCCACTACTGATACGACTAATCCTGTCAGCAAAAAACTGCCCTGGCATTTCCAACCAATGATCAGGCTAACGACACCATTGAGGCTTCTTCTCGGAAATACACAGCCAAATCTGAAGTTTCCTGACTACCATAAAAAACCAGCAGAAAACTGCCCAAAAGGAGATGCACACACCTGAGAAGCCAAGCAACCATTCCCAGTGACGTTGTTTTTCCATCCCACGGGATATCCCAGCGTTCTAAAACAGGCCACCCGGTCTTCTGCGATGGGGAAATCACCGACATATACCAGAAGAGCATTCAGGATTCCGAGATTCTCGCAGAGATTCACATAATTGAATTAATTAAGCCTTGTGTCATGTGTCTGGGAATTGGAGCTGAATTTGAAAGTAATCCGACAGACCGACCGACCTGGATAATCGCTTCGTCGTCTTCGGGCTCGCGGTTACTGAAAAGGTCATTCTTCGCCCGACAAAGAATTCTTTCGGCTCCTGCATCTCGGGGGCTGAAGGACGAGCATCCATCGGAGCGGCCATGAAGACAGAGAAGAAAGTCGGAAGCACCGATCGCGCTTTCATTCTTACTGAGAGAAGGCAAACATCTGAAGCTGCCTCCTGCCAAGCTCGTCCGCTCACTGCATGCAGTTCTTGCAAGCGTTCTTGCTCGGCATCTCGCAGCGGGGACACGGAGCAAATGGTTGGCGCGAGGGAGGCTGAGGCTGAGGCCGAGGCCGAAAGACTGAGACATGGACATGCTGCAGGCCTGGCCTGCTCGGATCATTTCGCCGCCGTTTTGCTTCGGCACCCGACCTCCGCTGCTGTTCCTGATGCGAGCTAGCTCAGAGGCAGCGAGATTCGACGATCGACAGGCATGGACATGGACGTGCGCAAATCCCTCAGGCGCTTCTCCTCTCCTCCTCCTCCTCCTCCTCGTCCTAGGCTCCTACTGGTGACTGGTCGATCACTCTGAGCTCAGCGGCCACCACGTCGGATGTCGGATCCTCACATCCACTCGCCCTCTCGCGCTACCAGCGTGACGTGGATCGCTCCCTGTGTTTTTTTGTACGGTCCTCGAGTGGTACGAGTCCACGACGGACGCCGGTCAGCGCTCGTCCTACTCGGACGCTCTTCTCGAGCCTCGAGTGTCGTTGTTTCCATTCATTCGTGATTCTGTCTGGGGTTTGGAGCATCTGGCCTGCCAGGGATGGTCCGCTGAACATGCTCTCTATGGAGTCGCCGTGAGCGAGCACAATTCTGCACCGAGTCTGCGAAGCATCGTCGACACGACAGACGAGGCTCTGGCAGTGCGTACATTGAGGAAGCGATCTGTGGACTCTCGATGGAGCAGAACGCAAGACTACGTCGTATGCAGGAAGATTGACGTGAAGGTGAAGATTGACGTCAGACCATAAGCCAACATTCAGTAGTAGCAATCGAATCGACCAATTATCTTTCCATGAACTGTGTGCTGGAATTGAACGATTTGTATCGTATGCCAGGAATCTTTTGGCAGTTGCATACTTGGGTCGTCTCTAGCGTTCGGGACTGCGATGCTACGCGGGCTCTGAATTCTGGACGCACGACTCATACACCGTGCAGCTGCGTGATAATGGGAGAGGAAGAAATCCTTATTTGCCCCGTCACGACTTTAGAACACAGGAAAATTCGACACTCGGGACTTCAATGCCTCTAATTTCAGCAGTTATTGTCGATATAAATTAGGGCTATCCAGACCGACCCATGCCCGCCGTTGTACACAGCCGTCGCGTCGGATGACTTCCGCAGCTCATCAATCCTCTTCGGGTTCCTCTTCGGGTTCGGGTTGTGGCCCCTTGGCCCTATTTTGTTGAAGGCAGTATGCATACATGGGGACAATGATCCCAACCGCCACGCCTCCGAAGACCGCCACTCCAAATTTCAACTTGCGATTTTTGATGGCGGTGATATTGTACATCGTCGGGGCATGAATGTAATCATTCGAGTAGTGGAACTCGCGTCTGCCTGCAGAATTGTGTAACCTTTTCTTGGAAAACTCGTCATTCCTACTTCTCTCGGGGCACACAATCACCGTCACTATCAACTTCCCCACATCTCTACGTGCGGTGCTTCGGAAGAATCCCAAGAGCCCTAGTGTTCGGTTGTGATTTGCGGCAAGCAATCCATATTCAGCAAGCAATTTTACAACAGCCTGTTACGGAATGTAAGCACTGGTGAGGAACATTCAGACTCATCGGTGACTGAGCCAAATTGTGTCACCCGTTCCTTCTCTCTTTTGGGTGGATCAGTGAGGGACCATGGACTCTGCAGGACTCACCGTACATCAAGAAAAGACGCTGCCGCGAAGAATCAGATAAGTTTGAAGAATGCTAGTGAACCTTGTTGATGAAGAACAGGCGCCTTGTCAAACACCTTTCTCGCCATGGACACAAACTGCAGCAAATTTCGCTCCATTCAAAATCTACACTTTACTCCGTCGTCCTTCGCTTCGATATCTTCGTGCAGGCAGAACTTTTGTCCCAGACAAGGGTAAAACTCTGCTCGCCGATCGAGCATTCGATTGTCGAATACTTATTTCAACCAATCCAGAGTCAAGCAAGCCTGCGAATTGCTATTACTTGGAGAGATCCGACAGCCCGATCTCGTTTTTCGCCATACTGGTTTCTGCATTCACATGAGTAAAGCCATAATATACATTTCCAGATTTGAGTACGTCGGGAAATAACTCGTTGCTGCATCAGCATCCGTTTTCAGCTCCATAAACATATCCAGGCAAAATATGGCCCCATCCATTATAATGAACGAGGATGGATAAACTCGGAACGAAGCGATTTGAGAGTTGCGAATGTATAAATCATTCAAAGACTTTCATCTATCAGTGTAATTCAAAAGATTGACAAGCAGGTTATCCATGTCGTGTGAGGAGGTTAATGAAAGTTAATGGATCAAGGATAAATAGATAAAGATTGCATGAAAAATGGAATTTATATTACATTTAGAAAAATGAAGTATGTGATTTTTGAAATTTACAAATAATCTTATCAATTTGATCGTTACAAGGGACTTAAAGTGTCAAATTTTACTTATTATAGTTTATTGATTTAAAAACTCCAATCACATGTTAATGAACAGTTGATATTATCTCTTTTCCTATGATCAAATCTTATATAGATCTTATTCTAATGCCTTTTAACTTTTTATTAAAAAATATTTTAAAAATTATGTAATTCAAGAAATGTTATCATAATACTAATTTTTCATGAACTTGCATTTTAACTAACAAATTTGTGCTATATTTTTGAATCACTATGATAGAATTTATTTCAAATAATCAATCAGATTTGTTTTCATTTATTGATTTGGTATTGAAATCATCAATAGTTTCAAGATGATATGCAGAGCAATTTTATTTGCTCCAAATATACTCTCTTGAATTCTTTTTCTTCCATGAAAAATGATATGCAAGAGAAAATATTTTGATATATATGTCTTAGCAAGTTCATTTTAGTATCATATTTACTCAACACACCTGAGATTTTAACTTCAAACCTCATGAGTTATTGCATAAAATGTGGTTGATAGTAAATATGTGACAGATTCATTATAAATGTCATTTTATATTCTACATATATTATCTTGTTTATATATAAATTATAGCATTTGTGAGAAAAATGCATTCCAAGTGATGAAGAATTGAGACATATATGTAAAATCTTAGGATTTGATAAAAATGAATGTTCAATCTAAAAGAAGTTAAACAATTTAATAGTATTCTCTTAAATTAAGGAAAAAAGATAAATCATAATTCTTTGATAATATATATATATATATATATATACTTACTGAGGTTTGTATGTTGCAATCAACAATGAAACCTTACGATAATAATCAATGCAATTCTCAAATCAACATTGGTCCAACCTATGAAACATACACTAATAATGAACCCATACACACACATGCTTCAACTTGCTTGAAGTAAAAATATACTCTTCCATCATTACCCTATACAAAGAGACTCAACAATACAAATTGTTGGATTTGTAATTGAGATTCTTTGTATAGGTTAATGATGTATCAAATTTTTTTCTTCAAGGAAGTTGAATCATGTGTGTATATGGGTTTATTATTAGTGTTATGTTTCATAGGTTAAGCAAATGTTGATTATATATTAAAAAATATGATTGTTTCTTGGTTATATTCAATAAACTGAACTTGTTATTGGATATAAATACAAACTTATTTGGAGAGATGTGGTGAATATATATATATATTCATATAAATTTCACGTTTCTTGGATTTGGAAAAATAGAAAAAAGGTGGCTTCCATGGTAAGGATAAATCTTGCTCAAGTTTCAATTAAGATATATGAAATGATTTATTAAAAAATTTTAGTGCATCATATGATGGAGACTTATTTTTTGCAGTTGTGTGCGTTGAGCAGTTGATAGGTAGAATAGATATATGAAATGTTGGTTTGTGAAGTACTTGTTATGTCGGAATTTATATTGAATCTTGATGATGATTTGTATGCATACGTGAGTTGTGGTTTAGCGAATTTTGTCTAGACTTATGTTCAGAGTGCGTTTCGTGTGAAGGTGTTGCATCGGCATTTTGTTGCGAGTACTGTAGTATGGGTCCTAGTCCCGGCCTGCTTAATGTAGGCTTATGCCGCGACGCATAAATTTCCTAAACTAGACTGCACGGAAACACCTAATTATCGTACCCTTCTCTTATCGAGAGGAGTGGGAGGTAGTCTATCGCTTCTAAGCATGCGAATGACTTAGCTTTGAGTATAAAGTATGCTGATGAAATTATTTTGAAAAAGAGCAGCTGCATCTTTGACAACCTGAATAAAGCCCTGGTACAGATTGAATTAAAGGTAAGTGGCCCATGAAATGGACATGCTCCATTTTATGCACTCTAAATGCACATTTACACACCACCTAAACTAAGGTCTCATGGTGCTACTAAATTACCCTGATTTAGGGGCCCGACTAGACTAATCAGACCTGGTCGTAGCCCCATGTTACCCGTTACATACTTGTACGCTTGATGAGCTCTTATCTCCCTTATGGCTATAGTACTTGGCCTTTTTTTTGCACGAAGGATGGGGGACGTACATTTGGGATGGAAGAATGTTTTATAGTACGCTCAACGTATCTTCGCTAGATTTCCCTCGCTGAATTTGCGTATAAGTAACGGAAAGAGGACGGACGAGACAACTTAAATACATCTTTTTACAACTCTATAAAGTACAGTCCAACAAAGCTTGAGAAACCAAGCCCAATGATCATGTAAGTAAGGAAAAACGGCACTCCATTCCTAAAAAGGCAAGAAAAAGCCCGGCCAATCGCAAAAGAAAAGATCCGAGGTGGCTCATCTCTCTCAGCTCTAATAACAACTACATGCACACTCATGTGAAACCGAAATAATTGATATGCGGCCGTCAACAGTAGGATTTCGGCATTAGTATAGCATCGTTATGGAACTAAGATATTTCGGAATATTGCATCCCTGTAAAGAGGCAAGTGACCCACTAAAACATGCAGAAATGGCGTTCCTGTTACATCTTGCGGCTTTGACGGACTGTCCCACGGAGATTTGCCATATCAGCAGAACGATGGAGATGGAGATGGAGATAAAGTCCGGCCAGGGGCAGGGACAAGGAGAAGAGAAGAACGCACCTCCACAACAAAAGAAAGAACGAACGACCGACCTGTCTATGGCCTCGCCAGCACGATAACGAAAGAGAGACATACATGCTCGGGTGACCGACCGTCTGGCCTTGGCAGCAATGGCGATGACAGTCAGTCTCTTGCCGTGCTCGACTCGCGCAATTATTGCTGCCACCGAGCGACCATTTCACAAACGAAATACGTTCGAAATTCCTCGTTTTAGCGGGGCAGGAAGATTCGCAAGGAGCATCACGTCTGTGAGGTGCAGAGCCGAGGCCGAAGGAGGTGAGGGCGCAGATGTGGCAAAGCAATTCGAACAAATTCTGCAGAATGAGGCCACCAAAAATTTGGTCGAAAGCTTAGCGGAGAAAGTGATGCAGGATGAGGAATCAAAGGCGCTGCTTCAAGATTTAGCAGCCGCCACTGAGCGCGTGGAAAAGGCCAAGCTGGAGATGGAGAGGACAAACAGGTTAGAGCAGGAAATTTTGTACGTTGAGAATCAAATGGCTCGGATTATTGCAGAGCAGAACTTAGCCGATTCTCTGGTACGCTTCGAACATATCTATTCACAGTGTGCATTTCATTGCTCTTGCTCGAGAGCCATCACCAGTGCAGTGCTGTCATTTACGTTGTATCGATTTAGTTGCCTCTTCCTTTACCTCGGGCTCCTGGTAAACGAGACTGACAATCGAGGACGAGCAGGGCTACCAGAGATTTTAGTTCCTCCATAAATCAGTGCCTTTTGGCAGACCTTGTGATGATCGAAGTTACTGTCGTACGTGTGCCTCTGGCCAGTCCTGGCTTGTTGTGTGGCCAAGAGGACATGAGAGGAGCCGTAGAATTGCCCTCGAATACGAACTGCGTGTGCAAGTCTCCAGAAAAGAAAACCCTGTGAAGTGGATGGAGAAGCACTTCTCGGTCTCTGCCCTGATGAGTGACGATCCGGGTCCATCTCCATCTGTGTGCAGGTCGCGGAGGTCGAGAAGGATGTCCAAGACGCCGAGCAGGAACTGAGAGCTGCTGAGCTTGCGCTGGTCACTGCAAGAGCTGGAGGCGTCACTGAGAATCAGAAGGTTGATTCCGAAACGAGTTATGATAAGGATTTGGACAGGCTGGAATCAGGAAAAGCAGCTGCCGTTTCTGCCATAGCCGGCACACTTTCCAGTCTTCCATTTTTACTCGTTTCAGGAGACGAGTTCGGAATCGGGCCTCTGCTCAGTACCGGAGGAGTCATTGCAAGCTGTGCCCTCTATGGAGTCACCTACCGGTACATCATAAGGCGAGACCTGGATAACATTCACCTCAAGTCGGGAGCAGCCGTGGCATTTGCTCTCGTCCGAGGTGAGAATCTTCTCAAACTCGTTTGTCCAAGCTTTTCTTTATCGTGTCCTTTCACGTTTTTTTAAGATACGGATTAAAAATTCGAACAAGAAGAGAGAAAGTTATCCGCAATCTGTGCCTTCGATTCCGCCTTATGTAGGCTCTACGAGGGCTTGCCTTCATTTATTCATGCTAACAGACGATTCCAAGACTGGAGGACCAGTGATACACACAGTGAGAGGAGTCGATCGGTTCTTCACAGGGATCGTACAGATATATGCTAAGCGATCCTGGGAACCGGATTTGTTCTGGCGTTTGTTGTTTCCCATCATCCTTGTTGACATGGATTCCAAATTCGCTGTGTAGGGATCGCACAGGTGGATGCTGTCTCCATGCAAGTCGGCTTCCCCGCTCAGGGTGCAGAGAAAGTTTTGATGGCTTCTCTAAATGCCTCAGAAAGTCTCTTCATTTTCATATTCGCCACCCTAGCTATGGACTTTTGTATGACGCGATCGATATTCAGCCCATACCCAGTAAGAAGACCGTAATTGGACTGGGGCAGGAGATACTCCAATGTGTCGAATAATTTTTATTATAGTAAAAGTTGAAGCTTACACAATTTCACCATTTGTTGGTTCGATAGTTGGGACGTTGGGCAGAAATGCCTGCAATTTTTGCTTGGGCAGGACCGGAACATCCAAGGGAACGTCTTCAACACCGACCGAGGCGGAGAGGAGTGTATTTGGGTTGTGCAGACAACTATTGCACTAAAATCACCTCCGCAAAGTCGATAAGCCCAATAACTGTGATTCTTATTTTCATTCGGAAAACGAAATGAATATAAGAATATATTCTCTTGTTCTCCATTGCTTGCATCCAGACTGTAAATTTTCCGGTAACTTCAGCAGTCATATACGACGAAGGAAGCAGATTACTATGCACCCAAAGTGAACACAACCACAGGTTCATTTAATCCACACGTCCAGACACATTGTCCAAGGACAGGAAAAACCACGGTGGTCTAAAGTTTTTGAGTGAATTCTCATTTCAGCTCCTTAAGAACAAATCTTTGTGGCCACAATTCCCTTCGTTTCCACAATGTAACCATAGTGACATCGACTTTTATCGGAGAAATTCGCTTGCTTTTGCACATACACACACTCCTTCATTCATAAAAGCTCACACCAGTGTTCTGAAACAGTTCTCCACCAGAGTTCTCCAGTGCATTTGGCCATCGCGCACATGAAAGCCTCATCATCGGCTCAAGAGGCCACGAACCCAAGCTAACCCGCTGGCACTATGTGCGGCGTGTGGAGGCTTCACAATCGCCGAGAGCGTGTTGTGCTCCGCGGCAGAAAGAGGTATTCCGTGAAAGAGACTCCGAGTTAGCTCTCCAACATCGGCCGATTGTCTGCGACCTCGATAGAGAGTAAATCCCGCAACAACCCCAACTGTCACTACCTGCACGCCGAACGAAAGAAAATGTACGAGTGAGAAGGGAAGCGCTGTACGAATCGGCTGGAAGATGAGATAGAGGGAAAAACAACTCCGCGACGCGATTGTGAACCAGGACCGAGATTTCTATCTTCTGAAGCAACACCCTCTAATTCAGTCTCAAAACAAGTGCATGAGGAGTGGATACTTACGGGGAGAAGCCAGAGAACGGCACTTTGTGCGTCAAACTGAGGGTTGTACAGGATCGTCTCCCCATATTCTGTGGTGAGTTTGTGGTATATCTCCTTATCCGATTTGCCTTTACTCAGCTCATCACGTATAACCTTCAACAAGTAAAAGCGGAAAGTGAGCAGAATCTGACATCCTTCAGACGTTGCCCTGATTTCCTGATGGACATGAACGAACGGCGGAGACAATCGCCCTGACAAATCACCGAGGAGCTAGGATGTGAAGAGGAAGCTTCTCATTCACCTTGCGAAGCTTGATTGCAATTTCTGCCTGCGACTCCTCAATTGCTTGATGTCCACATTCCAAACAGCGAACATTATGACTAATGTTGCGAGCTCGTGCTTCGATCTGAGCAGACCGAACTCGTTGCTCGAACTTAGTTCTATTGCTGCCATCGGATTCCGGACCTTCTTCTGCCATACTGTATTTTAATTCCTCTCACAGTGCACAGATCGAGAATCTGTTTCATATACGAAAGGAGGCGCAAATTAGCATGAGGAGGGGAAAGACCCTCGCCCAAGGCCTACAAGTCCAACTGCAACACCGCTGATATTGCTCGTAAAGTCTGCCTACGAGTACGATCCTTTGCCACAGCCAAACTACGATCGTGCACAGTCGTAAACAAACGTGGTGAGATTCCGCCCACACAACCAGACATCCAGGCAGACGATCAGCAACACAATCTAGTAAAGGCCAGTGATGTTCCAACAAGCGTTGCAAACAGAAGTCAAAAGATCAAGCTTACGATCTATTCGAGTCAGCAGGACTAGTCCCAACATACTTCGCTTGAAAGTGCTCGCCCTGGCTCTGGATGTTGGACATCTAACTCGCTCTATACGATGAGACAAATCGCCGAATTCACAACAGAGTACTCCACAAAGAAGTCGAGCTCGTCGCAGTTACCACTGCCTGAAGACCTACCATCCAGACTATAATTAGCCATGCTACTGCTCGGAAGGAATAACGATCAGGCCATCAGATATTGTCAGCCGATCTCTCCATCTGTGTCACATAAGACCTAAAATTCATCAAACCCCGTAGAAACAAACCCATCCCGTCGGCATCGTTCACACAATTCAGCCTTTGTTGATATAAATCTAAGAAATTAGCCTACGACGCCAGCATGTTGTCCCGACACATTCCAACCCAATGGTCGATCTTACCTGCATCTCCGCACAATGGCAAATCCAAATGTCGGGATTCTACAGAATGCAAAGGAACATCGCACAAAGATTCGCATCAAGTTCATGTCACATTCCGTCTGCAACATGCAACAATTTTTCCTCTCAAGCTCATGGAGGAACGAATTGACTTCCCTAACGTAAGTTATTATTTTCAACACTTGCAGACTACATCAGACATGTATACTTGAATGTAATGTTTCAATATTTACTATATGGAGATTATATTAACCTGGATATAGATGATAATAATTGAAAAATATTATATTTTCAAGTGTTATTTTTTATTCATATTCCGCATAAGATCAATTACATAATTAATTTTTACATTAATCAACCTAAATGCGTATTTTTCAAATATTAATGATAACAGATCTGAGAAAATTTTTGTGCACATACATATCATCATACAATATATATATATATATATTTAACATTTCATACATACACAAAAATCATAAACTAAAATATACACGAATGTGATTCGAAAACCCATTAATTTTTAGAGTCCCACAAAATGATATAACTCTCATACGCAGAAGTGGTATCACCAAGAATTACGTTCACTAGATAACATTCAATAAAACCACATCCAGCTATATGTATATTACCTAGCACACAATATACCCTGGTAAAACTACTTATTATCATAACAGAATTCTTGTAAAATTATGAAACACGAAATGAAGTAGTGAAAGTTCTACACTTGAATTCTATTATGTATATAAATCCAGATTTTGGTATCATTGAAAATTTAAATTAAGAAAAATCTTGTTATATTAACTAAAAATCATACAATACAAAGTCATTTTAAGAATAAGATCGTAATACTTGTTATATTGATTACTTGTTATATATATAAAAGAAATAAAGAAAAATTGGAACTGAAACAGGTCTAATTTCTATTATAAAATTTGGAAAAATGCAATTTATCATAAGAGTTTCAGAAGACATAACATCGTTCAATAGAAAAAATCCTACGCATACATTCATCAAGATCTATCTATATATATTTTGAGAATTTTATGATAAAAATATAATTAATTAAATTTATAGAAATAAAATAATTATTTTACTAGTATCATAAAAATATAATGACAATTTGAGGTTTTATATATTAAAATTTTATTTTTTTCATTCGATTTGTTTTATTTATCTATATGAAAGCAAATTTTTCTTACAATACATTGGGATAATCAGCTAATTTAATGCTTTAAGCTCTGTGACGGTAAAGATTATTATAGACAGTCTGTTAATTGTATTTCTGCAGATGTGATAATTTGTGTTGTAATTTTTTTAAAGCCATTATTCACTTTCACGAGGCGAGCTGCATAAAAAGAAGACAGAACGAGGATCTTAAACGTGCGACTTGCTCATGTGACGTTCATTCCAAAATTAGGTCAGTGTATTATTTCTTTAAATTGTTTACAAAGCTTAAAACAAAAGTACAACGGGTCGCCCTTCTAGCTAAAAGTTTGCTTCTATGTTCTTTTCAAACGTAAAACAAAATTATCGAGTGGCCTGCAGATCGCACATTTAAATAATCAGATGAGCGAACTCGCAAAACATGAAATCTCTGCTTCTCGCCTATCTCCAAAAAATTTAAATTTCGGGCAAGTTCAAATCCGGTGAAATGATGTAACTGGTGCTGAACGAGAGCGGTTTCAATCATCTGTGGTATAAAAGTTTTCAAACTCTTGCCTTACGAACCAAAAGCAGCCCGTGCCATTCCGATCTCCAATATTTCGAATTCGTTTCCTTGTTTAAATCTTTATAGAGGGAAAGAGATTCAAATGAACATTAGTTTCATAGTCATTGCTTCCAAGTAAGTATAACGCTGTTGCGTATTTCAGGTTTGCCCGGTGGACAATTTTAGTTTGGATAACGGGAGTGCTTGTACGACTGGGCAGCAAAGAGAGTAAAACCTTGAAGATCACAACTGATTTCGGTAGTGGCAATACTGTCCTTAAAAATGTCTTCGCGGCTATGCCAAGCGATGTTTCCATGTAACTTGAAGCTGAGGTAGATGAGGAAATAATTAAGCAAAGCCAGATATTGCATTAAAGCTTGTGAACAGTGTTGAACTAACGCTTCTTAACTGTGGTTTAGAAGTCTTGCCGTCGTACCGCGCTAGACGTCCAACGGACACCTGCATCGAACTGTAGAGTAGGAGGAGTAACGCGTGCTTCTAACTGCGTATGCAGCGTAACGACAGACGTGGACGACCGAAGTCTATTTTAATGGTGATGGGAAAGAGCCGACCGTTTGGCAGCAGAGCACGGGAGCTCGGTTTCTTCAATTCGTCGGAGCGCAGGTGTCGCTCGTGGCTCGTGGCTGCGCCTTCGAGAGCTCCTGCTGCTATGCCGATTCCGGGTCAATGACTGACTGCTCTTTGTGGATGTTGACGATGTGCTGATAGTTCCATTGGCAGTGAGCGCGATCTGTGCTTTGGTCTCTTCTCCTCTGTCGCGTTTCACCTTACTCTGTCTCCCGTGTTTCATGCAGGGAATTATCTTGCGCGTCTTGATTTTAATTTTGACTTTGATTTTGCTGATTGCTTCCCCTCAGATCTTCTTCGTTCAATTTTCTTTTAGATACCAAATTGCAACGATGTATCGTGCAATGTGATTACAGACTCCCAAGACGCTGGCGAGCTTACGCTTCTGGGGCTTACGCCACTTCTCTTGATTCCTGGTCGCAGCTCATGCACGAAATCTGCACATTTCCCAGTAGTTCCGAGTTATTTTCCCGCTTTCGATGTTTCTGTAGGATCAGGGGCTTCAGCGTTTATTTCTAACTGAGTGGATTGAGGGTCGTGCGTATTTTCAGTACGTCTGAACAAAATCTGCTTCCGGAAATCTGAGAAAAGTACATAAAATCTACCTGAGTCATTACCCTCTGTTAGATCAAGGCCCCTGCACAAGATTTCTTGCAAATAGTCCCAAACTTGACGGAGAATTTTATATTCTTGTTCAGTGGCATGTTTCTATTCGCTTCTAGTGGTCTTGCCAGCGTCTGATAATCTCGGAATTCACGTGCTTCTTGATTCAAGGGGTTTTTCATTTACCGATCTCATCCGAGGGGAGGAGCTTATGTATTCCCCAACCTCTGAAACAGTTTGGCTCGTCACATTACTGTGAAGACGGCGAGGGACGACGAGACTGAACTATTGTTGTTATTTAGTGTTTCACTTGGCTGCGTAATTTTGAACAGCGAACGCGGTTTCTTTGATATTTTCTGAGCACATAAAATCTTGGGTTTCTGTCGCAGTTGTTTTTTGACTGTCTGCCACAATATTTAACTTTTTCAGTATCTGGAGTAACTTGGTTTGATAGTGAAAATCTTTAGCACATGACATCTGCGTCACATTCCTCTGACGGCATCACTCACATTCGCGATTGATACTCACTCCGTAGGTTGTGCTGGACGTTGCTGGCGGTTTATCGTCTCGCATACGCATGATATTCTCTTCGTATTGCTGTGCACCATGATTATTGCTATCGATATCCACATCGCTTTCATTATCATCTCGCGTCGTGCCTCGATATCGTCAAATTTGCCGAAATATTGATAAACTTTAATTTGCGACTATGTGTTCGTTTTAGTAAGTGTTTCATCGCTACAATCTGAGCTTGATGAATGGTTCAACAGCTCAGTCAGTGCTGTTTCAGGAATTTATAGAACCGCAACCCTGTTATATCATACTCTGACTTCCAGCCGCAAGTAACGGTACTAATTTACTGCATTCTGTTGAGTAGGAGTTGGTTGCTTGTACTGCTGTTATATTTGTTCTGAGCAGGAGGGATCCACAGGAGGCAGGTACCCTACATTAGACCATGGCGACCAAGTACGAGAAGATGCTGATGAAATCTCCTTTGACGATTACTCCGCCGCCTAGGAGACTCGGGCTCTTTACGGAGCGTCACGAGATGGCGGACTCCCCGTTTTCTCCAAATCTGCCATCGTCTGCTGGTTGTAGAACGCCACGTCGGGAAACGCAGGTTTTTTTTTTTCCACGAGTTCCAGATTATTGATCCAATCATTGGACCAATTCATTGTCATCATCAGTAGGATTTGAGGGAAATATAGTCTCAGCTACGAACGTCAAGGTGTCCAGGAGTAGACTTTGCAGTTTTCCCTCTTTCCAGCAATTTTATTTCTTGATGATGGTCGGATCCATGAGCCAAGTTTACAATCGACAGTAAAGAGGACAGCCATGATCTCCGTTATTTCTAAATTGCGAAGCGAATGGAACGAGAAAAGTGAAGCAGATAGAACAGCTTTGGCAAGCCCGCTCTGCCTGAACATGAAAACTATCTTGCTTTCCAGGGAGACAGGTTTATTCCCAGCAGAAGTGCGATGGATTTGGATGTGGCTTATTTTAACCTAAAACGGGAAGCCAAAGAAAATTCAAATGCGAATGTGGAGGTTGCTTCTCCTATGAAGGTATGTCGTGAACTTCCTATGTCTGTATGTGTGATATAGTCCCTATTCAGTTACGTGGACCTTGGTCTGATATGTGATTCAGACGCCTTATTGAAGCTCCAGTTTTAACGTTTCTTGGTATAAGTTGCAACAGGAAGAGTACAGAAGGAAATTGGCAGAAAAACTTTTTCCAGATAGCGGAGCACTGCAGAGTCCTAAGATTCTTGCTTTCAAGAGAAAACCACCACCTTCACTTCAGGTGAAGGAACAAACAGCGCTGGAATTTCTACCGACGGACGCCAGGGTTTCGTCCCCTTCGAAGTTCCTATACAGACATATACCGCCGGTACAAAAGCTTTCTAGATGACTGCAAATCTGATTCTTTTAGTAGATTGCAAGAGTTTTGCATCGTTGTAGAAGAAAAGCAGTCGTTTTACCGACTGCTTTTCCCCGAAAGCTGAGCTGAAGGATGGCCTTGACATAAGCAAAATTCCACACTAATTGGACTTGGACGTCATTGCAGGCCCCAGAGAGAGTCTTGGATGCTCCAGAATTGGTGGATGACTATTACTTGAATTTGCTGGATTGGAGCTGCAAAAACGTCGTTGCAGTGGCGTTGGGAACTACCGTTTATCTGTGGCATGCTGACACGGGTGCAATTCATCAGCTCATGAGTACCTCAGTAGTAGATGACTATATCACTAGCGTTGCCTGGGCGCCAGATGGGAATCACATAGCATTGGGCTTCAACAGCACGGAGATTCAACTTTGGGACGCAACCCATCTTACTCAGGTAATAATTCTGCACTACAAGAGAAGAATGGTGAAGTCTATCCAGCGTAATCAACTAATGAGACGATACGATGGATTCTGTACCATCTGGTAACTCGAATTTCCTAGTGTTGGTTCCCATCTGTAAGGATGATCTACGTTCTCGCTGATCTTGAAGTATCCATTGTTCAGTACGACCACACCGTAACTCGAACTTACACTCATTCTGAATTAAGTAGCGGTACTTCGTTTTTCCTTAGAATGCTATCTCTAAGTATATCATCATAATATTCTGCAAATTCAGTGGATGTTGATGATTCACATTTTCGTAAGTATTTGTATGAGCCATACTAACTTCGCAGCGTGCAGATGCGACGGTTGAAAGGGCATTCAGCCCGTGTAGGAAGTCTTGCCTGGAACAATACAACACTTTCGTCCGGTGGCCGTGACAGCAAAATCATCAATCATGATGGTATGAATGGCTTCAAGCGTTGATGAGCGTTTCAGGCCTTTTTTCCGCAAGAGCAGAAGATAAACGTTATAATAACATGAATTTGTAAACAAAGTCTTGAAGTACCGTGAAAGAATACGTGTAAGAGAATTTCAAAACCTTTGAATTCATCAAGTCACCACCTAACTTTGTGTTCATAACCTTCAGTGCGCATCAGAGACCATATGACATCACAACTGTCGGGCCATAATCAAGAGGTGTGTGGTTTGAAGTGGTCACTATCTGGGCAACAGCTGGCTAGCGGAGGTAATGACAACCTTCTTCACGTTTGGGATGCGGCCGCCATTTCATCGCAGGCAACAACGCATTATCTCCATAGATTTGACGCGCATCAGGCTGCGGTGAAAGCGCTCGCATGGTGCCCTTTTCAATCAAACTTACTGGCCTCAGGAGGAGGCACAGCTGATCGCTGTATCAAATTCTGGAATACTCAAACGGGGGCCTGCATCAACAGTATCGATACGCATTCGCAGGTTGGTTCAATTGTTAGACATCCAAGCATCCTGCTCTCAGTTGACAGCTACACGGGAAGTGGCTTAGAGTCCTTAAGCTTATTCCTCGTCCTTATTCCCTGTTGAAATCAGGTCTGCGCACTTCAGTGGAGTCAACACCAGAAAGAGATTCTGAGTAGCCATGGATTCAGTCAGTATCAACTGTGCGTTTGGAAATATCCTTCCATGGTGAAAATGGCCGAGCTTACTGGTCATACTGCCCGTGTCCTCCATTTGGCTCAGGTGATTCTCTTTTCGAGCAGATTGATGGAGTTGTGATTTTATCTACTAGCTTGTAATTTGTCGGTAGGCCATTCTTGTCTGGTATTTTGTCTGGTAATCTTGACCTTGATATTCGCAGGGAGAATCCTTGCAGCAACGATGTCAGCTTTAACTTGGTATGTTTCATGTTTCCCTCCAGAGCCCTGATGGTACAACTGTGGTGTCGGCTGCCGCGGACGAAACACTGCGCTTTTGGAAGGTCTTCGGCACTCCTCCATCGAGCAAGAAGACGTCTGGTGGTTTAGCTCTGCGGAGTATTAACATACGGTAGATTATAGCAGAAATAATTCGGAGCGACATTGAATCACGAAATACTCAAAGAAGTTTGAGAGATAAGGGTTTCATTGTTGCCGATGTCATGTAAGCTGCCAAAGAAGGTTTGTTATGTTACCTCAAATACCAAGGGTTTCAATTATCATTGTAGAAAATTGCATAACTTCACCTCTTCACTCCTCCATAATTTATCTCTCCTTTATGGTTCCTAGGGCTTAGGTTCGATACTAGTTCCCTTCCGTATCTGACATCTAACCATTTCTCATTGCTGAATTCTGCAGGCATCGGAGAAAATTCGTTACGGAAACCGTGCTGAAACGTACAGAATGAGTTTGAAGAAATCCTTTGTACGAGCTGTGAGCCCAAAATTCTGAAGTTTGAGGCCTGACGGAATCATACTGTATTTTATCTCTTGGGAACTGTTTCTATCATACATCACTGGGTTTAGGATTGCCATTAAGCAGCCCCTTGAGACCCAATATACTCCCTTCAAATGATTACTTTGCCTCTTCCCGGGCTCCTCGAAGATTACTGTCATCAGTGATGATGGACACTTGAGTCAAACAGATCCAATTTTCTATTGTCGGATATTTTTTACATTTTATATTACTCAAAGCGGAGAACAACTTTGTGTCTTTCTATGTTTGGATGACAGTACATCATTGATTCGCTACCTTTTGTGATTTATTGGGAGCATGTATATTAGCATCAATACCAAAGATGGCAAACACGTTGACTGGCATACATGCATGCATGCATTGCACAAGGAGATGAAATGCATTTCATGTCCTCGATTGCACATATTTCTGTGTGCAAATTCTATGTTTGGATCATCATCTAGAATTGTCAATCTAGGATAATCAGCACACTTAAATTCTCGGAAGATAATATTTATCGAGTGCAGTTATCCAACTATGAATGTTATAATAACACGTCATGTAAGTATCATACTTTGATGCTGCAGAAAGTTGCATGTCAACGCCAGATGTCCAAAATGAACACCAGCAGAGTTAGGAGTAATAAGAAGGTAGTCGGAAGACAGAAACGTGAATAAAGATCGCAATCACAGGGCATTCCGACAGGCAAGAGAAGCAGCTATAGTAGAAAGGTTTGAACGCTTGAATTTCACCATCACAAACCTCGAATAGTTGAGCAATTTCCGAATGCTTGCATCCTAATGTACAGAATACTTTGACGGAGTACACACAGGATGAAGAATATGGAATGGAAGTAAATGGAAGGTGATAGGTTTCACGCCAATTAACAGTACTACGACTTGCGGCATCGTCTTGAGGTATTTTGTACCGGAACGTGCGCAGAAGGACAGGCTGAGGACAAGTGACAATTCGTGTGCGTCTTCCACAATGTGTATCCGGTTGACTGGTGAAATGTGGGCAACCTGTAACGAACCCACCCGTCAGCTTACCGGTTAGGTCCGGTCGTATCAATTTTAGGGCTCAAGGTTTCTTTCAGGTTGGGCGCAACGTCTTCGGGTTCGAATTCGACTGAATGTGTGGGTTCGATGTGATTGCTGGTACATTTGAGCTTTTGTAGTCGGAAGCGGACACGCGGTGTCGTGGTTTCGCGGTATGCTGATCTCTTATCGATGCGGCTAGGGCTCGGGAGAGCGAGCCTGCGTGGAATGCTGATGGTTGAGGCAGTGCAAATTGCCGGAATTTTGTTCGAAAAAATCGTTGAGCAGTTCTTTTAGTCCTCTGGTGCATTGGTGGTACATAGGTATGCTCACAAAGAAAATCGAGTTGAATAGAGTGTAGAACAGGAAGACATGGCTTGTGCTCCATCGATTTCTCAATCCCTGATCTTGAAGTAATTGGGCACTTTCAGCGATTGACGACGTTTCTCCGAGACTTGACAGTTCGGAGATTGGACCTCGATGTTAGGTGGTTGAGAAGGTGACCATCGGGGTTCACTCATCTTGACAGAAGCGTGTGAAGAGGTCAACATGGAGCCTGCAAAAGTGATCGCCGTGGCGAAGTCCCAAGCTAGGGATTTGCGGCGTGTGTCTATGAAGCTTGATTGTGTCGACAGCCTCGAGTACACTCAGTGGGAGCCGGGACAAGAATATAAGCGTACATTTGTCGTTAGAAACATTGCCACGAAAGTTCAGGTATCCGTCTTCGATGTCACAAAGGGCACGGCTTCTCGCAGCTCCCTCTCAGAAAGAGCTGATTCTAATATTGCATTTCTCCAGCATACATTCCATCAACACTTTTTTCACACTCCCAAGCTGGTCCAGACCTCGAATCCTTGGACCGTTTGTGTCTGCGCACTGTGGAGAAGTCAAAGTCCAGCTGAATTGTACACAGTTGACATAGGAGTGCTGCAGTTGCTTGTCACGTTAAAATGATGTTGTGCTTGAGGTCACCAAAAGTGAGAGAACGGTGCCATTCCTAGCTGCAAGAGGCCAAACTGAATGCTTGAGCCTACGAGTCACTCATAGGAGACACGGACAAAAAACAGTAAGGTGCAAAATAATATAATAAGGTGCAAAAGATAATCTCCAGAACCAAATTGGAAGCAAATCGACGAGATTCGCTTGTCCTTTGTACAAAGTAGAAGCAGATCTCCTCGATTTGCTCCCAATTCGGTCAGACTGTGGAGATCAGAGTCATTGCCCGAGTTTCCAGCGAGTCTCCGAAGCTAGTAGCATCGTTGGAAGGCCATTGTGGAAACTAACGAACAAAATTCATTTTCAAGACATTATGTACTGAAGATACTAAAACAAGTCTTGGATTCCTCAGCTGTCAAAGGAAATGAACTTGGAAGGTGGAATTGAACAAACCCTTGCAGACATGAGCTTTTCTTTGCTGATCACTCATCTCCGTCCAACCTCACTCATGGAGACGGACGAATATTTCCAGTAGAGATGTTGTTTGTCGAATGTCTCCACTTCGAATGAAAGTAGTACTTATATAAGTTTGTGAAGTTGGTCCTCGCAGACTGTACGATGGGAACCACCAGTATCCCCCTACTTCGAGGTGCAATTCCAAGAACCGCATGCAAGGCTTGGCCCAATGATGATTGCCGCCATCAACATCGTCTTTCGCCCGGCAGCGCTGGAGAATTATGAAAGTTCGGTTGTTTTCAGAACCCAGCGGGTACTCGAGCAGCACCTTGCACTCAGAATTGTCCGACGAAGTTCACAGTGCTATCTATATTCAGCGAGTGAATCTACTCCATATACACACATTTGATGTACAAGATGTGCATAGTTTATAAAGCTTAAGTCATAGAAGTTATCTGCGTAGCTCTTCCTCAACATCGCTTTAACACCCAAAAGTATGTCTTTCGCCAGTCCATGCCTTCTCAATCGCATGTACTCATTGCCAAATCTGACTCGGTTGTTTCGTTTTACAGGGTCAATTCACGTTGGAACTCCGGGGTCCTCTTCCAAAAATTGACCTGGGCATTCCAGATTTCATCGATTTCAACTATGGTCCGGTGCATGACGTCACAGAAAGGACTTTCATGATGAAGAATACATCAGACATTACAGTGACATATGAGTGGGTGGTGGAGGCTCCTTTCTTCATTTATCCAAGTAGATCCTCAATCCAAAAGGGGAAAAATGAGATGGTATACTGCCGGTTTCAACCTGAGAAGGCTGCCGCTTTTTCAACCACGGTATGAAACACGCCAGTATTTAACGGGCCTAGCTAGAGTCGACGTAGTTCTTCCCAACTCAACGCTCCTCATTCAGTGCAAACTGCATTCTGCTGCTTGCTGCCGCCAAAGCTTATTTATCAACTTAACAACAAATTGCACATCGAGTATCTGCATGTAACAGCCGTGGTTTGCAACCCCGAAAAGACTGACTTGGTGAACGTGACGGGACCCAGGCCCTCTGCTGTACGTACCTCGGGGTTGCAGCAGAAATGAAGATGAAGGGTATAGGCAAATACTCCTTCTTGGCTGTTGCAACACCTCTACTCGAATTCGGAGAGATCATAAATCGCACGACGAAGGAGCTGACGATAGTGGTGTCTAATATCTCCATTGTCCCGGCCAAATTCTATGTGAAAAAGGTGGATAATCCACTTCACATATCAGACTGCAATTTCACCATCATCCCAATGACCGGTGTGATCAAGGCAAACAAGTCTTTCACTTTCAAGGTAAGCCAATGACCGTATCCTCGAGCAATCCATTGGTTTTCTCGGTACTTCGAGAGCTGACTTGTTAGAAAGGCAACATAATCTTGTGCTACTGACGATGCTCAGAAAGCGAGCAGCGTTGTAGAATGTCGCTGTGTATTCATCCCAACTTCCTCGCGTTCTTTGACAATATGAGATGTCAAGCTCGCATCATAGTATTGAAGATTATGATGCTCATTTGACACGTGCATCCAGTCCATCTCGGTTCCGGTATGTCGAAGTCGAAGGAACGTGTAGCTCAAATACAACATGCACGGCGCGTGTCTTCGAACCTTGCTTGTGTCGATGGTAAGTAGCCTGTCCCTTTCTCATCGTTTGCAGGTGATTTTCAATCCCATAACTGCAGGCACCTTCTCTCTCGAGAAATTTGAGATTCACACATGCCAGACATGTCGTGCGTCGTTCTCGTGCTCTGGCACGGCTGCGAGACCCGTGGTCAAGCTGTCCACCTTCTCACTGGACTTCGGCAGTGTGGAGGCCGGCGGCTATATATCGCGCTCGGTCCTGCTCGACAACCAGTCCATCATCCCGGTCTACTTCCAGTTCATGACCGACGAGATGCGCGTGTTCGAGTTCGTCCAGGCCCGGGCCGTGTGCAGGCCCAAGCGAGCCATGATGATCACCATCCACTTCCGGCCGCACGTCATCGCCAACTACTACCGGCGCATCATCTGCGTGATCCAGGACCAGCACGCTCTGTACTGCGATCTCCTGGGCACCTGCTACAAGGTGGCGCTCAAAGCGCCCACCCTGATGCAGTACCACGTGGACCAGCACCGCGAGCTGCTGAAGACGGCCAGCGTGGCCATCGAGGTGGCCGACGACCAGAACCAGGCCGCGTTCCCGTCGAAGAAATCCATCCTGGCCAACATTCGGCCCTACTTCGGATCCGTGCCCAGGGCCTCGCTCAAGAAGGGCTTGGACGGCTCCGAATGGACGGACGACGCCTGGCACGCCATGCTGGCCCATCCCGAGGAGACCGAGGCCAAGACCAACAAGCCGGACGAGCCCACGTCCGTCCAGCCGCCGTCGGGGCGCGGCGACGGCAAGACGGTGACCTTCGCGCCGGGCTCCAACCCGCACCACACCGATAAGTTTGCGCCGGGCGCGGCTGAGCTCGCCAACGTGTACCTGAATCCCGAGGCGGGCCGCGTGGCGCAAGGGCCCCGACACCGGACGTCGGCGCAGCAGAGAGAGCTGGCGCAGCAGCTGCTCAAGGCGGACGTGGTGGATGAGTTCGGACCCAACAACGTTGGCCCCGACGGCGTCCCGTACAGACGAAAGTCGCGCTTGGACTCGCGCTACCTGGTCTTCTCCAAAACCTGGCAGCGCGGGCTGGAAGGGTTCAAGCGCATGTACAACCACGAGATCTGGGACGAGTACTACATCGGGCGGATGGAGTACTGGGAGCCCGTGACGATCGACAACCAGGTTCTGGATTTCGGCAAGGGCCCGTGCATGCAGTTGTCGGAGCCGCAGTTCCTGCACGTGACCAACAACTTGCAAACTCCCGTCACGCTGCTCTGGCTCGTGCCCCGGCCGCCGCGGGTGGGCGAGTTCACGGGCATCAAGCCCCGGCCGCCGCCGAACAAACTCGAGAGGATGATCAATATGCAGAAGGACTCGCCGGCCACGAAGAACACGGAGATCTTTCACGTCGTTCCCGACAAAGCCATCATTCCGGTGGGGGGCAGCTACACGTTCAGCGTGATCTTCGAGCCCAAGGCCCCCAACAATCACTACTGCCAGCAGCTGCATCTGTTCGTCTGGACCCCGAGCCCAGATCGTGTGCTGCCCCCGTGGTCCACCACAGTGTGTGCGGCCGGCCACAGCTTCGTCATGCAGAGTCAGGAATTCCCACCTGAGTATTCTGTAACCAAGACCAAAGTCAATTTCCCCCCCACCTTGAGGGGATTTTCTGTGTACCAGACGATCGTGCTGCGAAACCACAACGGGACGGTCCCTCTGAGGTACAGCCCCCCAGACTGCACAAGATGTTGTGGCTGCATGAGTGGTGCATGGGGACTTCTTCCCTTTCGTTCTGCGCTTGCGAGGCCACATTCCCTCACCTGACCAGACAGAAGTGAAGCCTCAGATGACTAGGATGGGGTCGAGCATTTGAGTAGCTACACTAGCGTCATGATGCTGACTCCATGATCGACTTGTGCTCGTGTTTGTAGCTTCATCTTTGAGCTCGACAACCTGCTCCCAGAGTTTGTAGTGAAACCCGAACAAGGACTCATTCCACCGGGCGAGTTTCAGCTTCTGACCTTCAGATACGATGCAGGGGAGCCGCAGAAGATCACGGACAAAGTCCGATGTGTTCTGAACCACTCTGCGATCGATGATCTCACATTCACTCTGAATGCAAGCAGCCATGTGCCCAAGGTGTTGAACTTCCCCGAAGCTCCGTGAACACTTTTTTGCCTCTTGTCTGCAACCCGAATCCAACGCTTGGCCGTGAGCTTGACGAGTCCTGTTTGCCGCCTTGTTGTGATGGCAGCTGGTTCTCGAGAAAAACGGTGTCATGTGCTTCAAGCCGACTGCCGTGGGAACGAGAAACACGCTGTACTTCGTCCTGCGAAATGCGAGCGCAATCGCCACCGAATTCGAGTTCCAAGTTCCTAAGAAGCTGGCGGAGGTGTTCATCATCAAACCCATAGCCGGGCTTCTTCGGACGGGGGAGAGTGTGAACGTGTCCATATGTTTCATACCCGCAAAGGCCCATCTTTACTACTGCAAGATTCCTGTCAGAGCGTTCGCGCACGTGGAGAAAGCGTTCATTCAGGACAACGGGATGGCCTTCGAGAACGTGCAGACCAGAGAAATCAACAGGATTCAGCTGATTGCCAACGGCGAGGGCATGGTGGAATCGATCCGAATCGATCCCGTGCACATCAACTTCAAGCACGTGGTGGTCGGTCGCCCTCACAAAGTTCAGATCACTCTGAAAAACGTCAGCGCCGGTAGTCTGAGATACGCACTGTCGGCCAATGGCAGGAACAAGAGCAAGAAGGACTGCGTAGTGTCGTTCGACCGCCCGGCGGGTCAGCTCCACGGGAACACACAGCTCACAGTCATGGTGACATTCCACGCGTACAAGGTCCACAAATTCGAGTTCGACGTCGTCTGCAGCACCTTCCTGCCGCTGCAGGAGATGCCGCAGTACACCAATCTCCTGCCGGAGACGGATCCTCTGCGGTTCGTACACGAGGAGTCCTTCCCCAACGCGCCCAGCGCCAAGAGCGCCTACGCCCTGCTCAGCGCAGTGGCCAAGTACCCGTGCTTGAACGTGGCGGCGGTGCGCGGCGAAGGGCTGAGCTCGCCGCAGCTGTGGCGCGAGCTGCAGGTGCGCAAGCTCAATGCGGCCTTGGCGCTCGGCCGGCTGAACACGCAGCGCAGCGGCGAGGCGGTCTACGAGGACCTGTTCTGCATGGGCCACCCGGTGGACCACGAGCGGGCCTTCGTCTTCGACTTCGGAGCGCAGCTCGTGTCGACGAACCAGTCCACGGTGGATCTGGTGATCCGCAGTGGCAACGAGCTGCCGGTGTCGTGGCGCGTGCGCTTCTGGAACGACGCCGAGATCGACATCGAGAACTGGGTCGTGCCCGCCGCCGCCACCAACGAGGAGCGGCGCTACATGCTCATGCGCAAGTTCAACTTGTTCCATGCGGAGCCGCGCCACGGCGTCATCCAGCCCGGCGAGGAGCAGTATCTGAGACTGCGCTACTGTCACCTCATGGAGGGCGAGCACATTCTGCCGGCCATCCTCGAAGTGCAGTACGGGCGAACCACGCACTTGGAGCTCCGCGGCCGGTCCATGGTCGAGCCTCCGCGCGTCCTGATCATGGACGTGGACCCGCACTTCCTCAAGCCCGGCACCGTGGGCGAGCTGAACCCGCCCTACCAGTGCGTCGAGCTGTGCAACCGAGGCCCCGTGGACATCGACTACGAGCTGGACACCCGCGCGCTCGATAAACTGCGCCGAGACAACTTCGACTTCCCCGTGCTCTCGTGCCAGAACCCGACGGGCGTGGTTCCGGCGTTGCAGTCCGTGCTGCTGAACTGGGTGTTCCAGCCTCTGCAGGCCAGGAACTACGAGGTGGACCTGCCGGTGCAGGTGCCGGAGGGCGAGGGTCGGAAGCTCACCCTCTTCGCGCGCGGCGTGAACCCCGGCGAGTCCGGCGAGTTGCAAGACCTCGAGCGGGTTGCCAATGCTCCGCCCGACATGTGGAGATCGTACGACTGGCCGGACGTGCCCGTCATTCTGACCACGGAGCTTCTGGACTTCCACCGCGTCGTCGAACTCTCCGACACGCACCGGCTCATCGCCATCCAGGGCTTGGTGGACGACTGCAAGGTCAAGTTCACGTGGTTCAACAGCGCGGCCGTCGAGCAAAACGTCCGTGGCACTTTCACGGTGTTCCCGGCCACCGGCATAATCGAGCCCCGCCAGCAAGTTCTCTGCAAGGCAATCGTTCTGACCCTCAAATCTAATCTGCTCGACTCTGTCCGTCTCTTCGACTCGAGCTATATTAGTTCCAGGGCAATTTGCCTCTTACGTCTGCATGCATGACCGAGCGCTGACTTGTCATCAAACGTCGAACGTCGATGCAGGTACAATTTACGGCCGGCATTCAACCGCAGATTTTCGAGGCCTGCCTCATTCTTGCCACTGAGAGAATTCCAAAGGAATTCGAAGAGCTGATGAGTTTGCCACCGGATACACCGCCGATGGATCCGGTGGAGATTCATGTGGATACATGGCCCAAGAGGCTGACGATGGCTTTCGAGACCAGGTTCTTCAAACACGACTGCGTTATCGAGAGATTCACAAGAACGGCGAAGCTGCACATGACGGAGGAGGCGCGCCGCCGGTTGGAACGCGTGGAAGAAACACGAGATTTTGAGCGCCTGAAGCAACTGGAGACGGAAAATCTGTCCTTCATCCCACCGCCACCGACGCGCACCACCGTCTACTTGACCGTGGCTTCGCACATCGTCGCGAAAGTTTACGACACCACTGCGGAAGACCTGCTCACGGCCGCCGAGAGGTTGTCGTATCGGCTTCCGGAGAAGACCCAGTGGGAGGTCCACATCGAATTGGCCTTCGGCATCATGATGGAGTTGCTGCAGGACGCTCTCCATGACGAGATGAGAGAAAACTCGTTCCACAATCTGGAGACCGACGGCATCATGGCATTCGAGAAATTTAAGTTCCCTCGCAAGTCCCACAGTCCCCAGGTTGAGGACGACTTCGACTGTCTGGGCGAAGGTGAGCTCCCGCCCAACGAGTACCGCTTGAACTATGAGTATCCGCCCGACTACGAGGAGGAGGATCCCCAGGAAAAGCCCCAGGACCCGGACTTCATCGAGTACGTGGATCTCTTGACGAAAGAGCAGACTCTGGCAGCGAACGTGAACGACAAAGACGACTGGAGGATGAAAGCCATCTGGATCCAACACAAACGTCGTCAGACTCCGTACACCAAACCTCTGAAGCAGCATTCTCGGCCATCGGACAGAGCACCTGACATGGCTTTCGGTGTCCTGGAAGATTGGCTCTTTCTTATTGTAAAAGAAATATTCGACAATGACAACTGAACTACGCTCATCGTCCTCTCCTCCATCTTTTGTACCGCGCAGTTTGTCGCCCCCTCCATTCATTCTCGTGGTCCTGTCCTTTCAGTCACGTGATGCACTAGCAGCCTTGCTCCTTGATTCACTGCCAACGTGACTGCCCTTTCACGACGCAGTTGAGCGAATAGTATATCGAGAGTACATCTCCGGCAATTCCATATTGACACAGGTGGCAGCACTAAGGATACAGACACGGAAAAAGGGTTACGCGTGAAATAAACGGTGTTATGCCATACCTCGACGGTAAAAAACCATAGCAGGATAGAAAGACCCCAGCTGGGGTTCAAAAGAACAGGAGATTTCCTATTTGGTCTCCTAATCTCATATCAAAAGTTCAGGTGATAACAAAAGGTCTAGAATCAGCGTCACACATCAATCCTATGTTTCTTTCATGGTAGAGGCAATCTCACTGATTTTATGCATATGCATATACGGTATCTAACATAATGGATGCAAGAAGAGAAGGATAAATGTCTATCAAAATGTTCTATCTTGATAAAGCCTAACACACTCTCTCCTCGTCCTCAGACCCCTCATATACTGGTGGATAATCCTAAATCTTAGCAAGAACATTTTAGTAAGTAAATCTTCCAGCTTGAAACATTACGACTTATATGGGGATGGTGTGCTGATTCAAGAGGGAAAGAGCAAATCGCCCGATGCTTGCCATTTCGAAATCTCACTTGATGGTTGAGTAACTTGTATAAATCTGATAGTAGCTGTTGGTCCCACAGGAGATACATAGCAACATACGCGTTACATTATTCACCTCCTTGGGACTAATATATACACAAACGTACATAAAAAAACATTACTTTTGAATCCTTATGTCTCACAAAGAGCTTTCATTCACACTTGTATGTAATAAATTTAGCTAACTCTAGTGGAAATATAATTAGACTAGAAGCGTGCCCAAAGTTAATCAAGACTTAAAGTAGAGAATAGATAAAGGTTAAAGACATTTTTAAGAAAACTGTGATATGAGACTCCGATGACATAGTCTTGATTGGTATCACTAAAAAGAAAGACTAATTTGAGTTGTAATTAGCCACTTTTGGAATGACATAATATGTGAATGTTATGTGTTTGTTTAGATCGTATACAATGTATATAAACCTATAATACTTACAAGCATATTTTTTATAATAAGAGTATACCAAGAAGATTTTGAAAGTTATGAGAAGTTCGTGATGCATATGAGAAGCAAACAAAGTAAGGTGATTATTAAAAACAAATCAACGACTAAATTAATTTACATGTTTTTGGTACTAAAGTTGATATTCTAGCTGCAACTTTTATTTGAAATACTCTTCTATAATAAAAAATAGTAATGTTAAAAAAACTTTATTTACAAAAATATGAAAGATGAATTTTTTATATCTATTTTGAATTTCTTGCATTGAGTTAAAGTTTATATTTTCAAAATCTCAAAATTCCAAGAATTCCAAAAAACGCTCAAAATCCAAAGTTTATATCTTGATAATTATTGCTTTTGACATTAATATATACAAGTATGCATACTGGAAAGAAGTAAGAATGTCATAAAAAATTTATTCAGGATTGTGACTAAAATTCTAAAAATAACAGTTTTCAACTTTAGTTTTCACATTCACATCTATTATCATTTTAAAATAAAAACTAATGATTGAGATGAATTTAATTGATTCTGATCATAATTTTGACTATATACATTAGTATATTTAAGTATTACGATCATTGTTCCTATATTAAAATCTATACCTATCATGTGTATAATCATGTTGATTTTCTAAACTAACTGAATCTTTTTATTTTTGTTGCGGATTTTCACATAAAAAATTTGAATTAATTTCAAAAGAGTGTAAACAATATTTTTGTTACAACTTATTAAATTTTCATATTTAAGTAACAAAAAATTTTATAGAAAATTAAATAAAATATATAAACAAATTTTTTCCTGTTTATATCACTAAAACTAATTGAATGTTTTTTGTAAGATGTTCAATAAGATAAAAAGTGTAATTTATTACATAGGTTTTATAATTATAAATTTTATGTGACTTTTATTATGGTACGATATAAAACTTAGTCACAATAATGTTTAAGTTAACTTTGGTTAAAGAGTTAATTGAGGTTAACTGCATATGTAGTTATTGATAGCGTAGAGTGGTTGACTAACTTGGGTATATATACCCTAAGGGTGGTAAGAAGTTTATCACTTCAAGTAGTATACTCTTTCGAGTGTATTCTTCTGTGGACGTAGCCTTTGAGGGTGAATCACGTTATCCGTGTGTACTCTTGTATTTCTCGTATTGTTGTAATTTCTCCTAAATCACTTTTACCTAATTAAGTTTGAGTAACCCACTATATGTGACAACTTGCCATTGACCTACCTAAACCTTCTAGAAGTTTCTGGAATCCGATGTGAGGTGGCGATATACCATTGGAAGCTTTAAAACTTCTAGAAGCTTCCTAGCCACTAAGTCAACATTAGACTTGGTCTAGCCAATCATCTTTCATACATTTTGTCAAACCTATCAAATCCAAGTTTATAGTCAAATATCTAATACTTTAGAATCTAGAACTTTGTAAAAGACAAAATAGATGTGCTCACTACACTCTTCTAGAAGCTCGCTATTTATTCCGCCAACTATTGACATTATAGCTAAACTTGGTCATGACTATATAAACTTAGTTATAACTAACTAGTTTAGTCATAACTAACTAGACTCAGATATGTCTTGGCTACTTCTACAACTGGGTACACATGTGCAACGGTCTCACATTAACCCCCGGACTGTGAGACCAGATGTTGCACATGTGTACTAAGTTGTAGAAGTAGCCAAGTGATTAATGATCATTAGCCAAGACATATCTAAGTCTAGCTAGTTATGATGAAACTCGTTAATTATAACTAAGTTTATCTAGTTATGATTAAGTTTAGCTATAATGTCTATAGTTGGCGGAATAATTAACGGAGTTCTAGAAGAGTGGAGTGAACATTTCTATTATGTCTTTTACAAAGTTTTAGATTCCAAGGTATTATATATTTGACTATAACCTTGGATTTGATTGGTTTGACTAATGTATAAAGATGATTGACTAGACTAAGTTTAATGTTGGCTTAGTGGCTAGAAAGCTTCTAGAAGTTTTAAAGCTTCCAATGGCATGTCGCCACCTCAAGCTAGGATTCCTGAAACTTCTAGAAGGTTTAGGTAAGCCAATGGCATGTTGCAACGTATAGTGAGTTAGTCAAACTTACCTAGGTAAAAGTGAGTTAAAAGAAATTACCACATGTTACTATGGTAATTTCTTGAGTAGTATAAATAGAAAGGTGGAGTAGCACCTCTCAAGCAAGTTTGAAGAGTTCATGTGTGAGTACTTGTTTTAGGAATGAAAGTGTGAAGCTTTTCAATATCTTGAAGTATCGGCGTGTGTTTGAGTTTACGTGAATTGAGTGATATATGGAGAGTTTGTGTGAGAGTGTTTGAGACACGAGTATGAGTGAGAATGCTAGTCTTCTAAAACCATAATGAGCTACCATAAAGTCATATGAGGTAAACCTAAGTGAGAGTCAGCCTGAATGTTGCAGGTGGGGATGACAATCTTCATGTTGGAGAATCTAGATCTATGAGTATTAGATTCTTAACTTTGGCAAAAGTAAGCTATGGGCTTAAAAAAGTTGTAACATTTTTTGTTTGAGATGTTTATTTCAATGAGGCCAAGGTCATTGAAAGAGTAGGAGAGTTCTCAAGCTCTTTGTCATGATCCGCTCACAGATATGGTTGTGGGAGAGTTTGATTGTTATATGATTCATGATCAAGAAGGTAGAGCATCAGTAATGGTGTAGATTATGAGCACATGATTGAGCTAGTCAAGATTGATGATAAACTCAATCTAGCTTATGCATTGACCAAAGTTGATATTTTTGAGAGATTCAGGCGACACTGTGCTACAACGCAGGTTTTGCATGGATAGCACATGGAATGATTGTTGAGTTATCTCTGTATATTATTATTCTATCTTGGTATGAGAGTAATAATATAGGTTAGAGAAGTGACTGAAATTCCTTAACATGAATTAAGGTGAGATGGTTGAGTTAACTTTGTATATTATTATTCTATCTTGGCATGAGAGTAATAATATAGGTTAGAAAGATGACTGAAATTCCTTAACATGAATTAAGGTGAGATGGTTGAGTTAACTCTGTATATTATTATTCTATCTTGGTATGAGAGTAATAATATAGGTTAGAGAGGTGACTGAAATTCTTTAACATGAGTTAAGTTGAGATTGTTGAGTTAGCTCTGTATATTATTACTCTATCATGTTATGTTTACGGCTTAGTTCTTGTTAACTGTAGTTTAAAGAGGGGCCTTGTGTTAGGTTTCGTCTAGAACTTCATATTCAATAATAATATAGATTAGAGATGTTATTGAGACTCCTTAACGCGAGTTAAGGGGAAGATTAACTCTGGTGAAGGAGTTAACTGAGGTTAACCTCATATGTAACTATTTATAGTGTAGAATGGTTGACTACCTTGGTTATATATACCCTAAGGGTGGTAAGAAGTTTTTCACTTTAATCAATAAAATCTCTTGAATGTATTCTTCCGTGGACGTAGCGTTTGAGGGTGAATCATGCTATACGTGTGTACTCTTGTATTTCTCGTATTGTTGGATTGATTAAATGTGTCGATATAATTCTCGTGTTTTGCGTTTACAAATAAGCACATTAAGTAAATCTTTGGCTTAGTATTTTTTACATTAAATATGTTAATTTCTGCATAGATGAAGTATTTGTATATTTTTAAAAAATATACAAATATTTTCAATTAAAATCAACATCTTTCAAAAACATGAGTTCTATTTTTTTGTTGAATGTAGTAAAATTATTTAGATTAATATTTGTAAAAAAGAATTAAAAGTAAGATTCATCAATATTTATCATATGCTTAATAAATTCATATATATATATATCTATATTTCATAATACAATTTGGTCATAAGAATTAATCATAATTAATACTTATTTATTTATTTTAATTTTAAAAATTACTGTTTTAATTTTTATATTTGATGCTAAAATGTAGATTTTTGATGAATTAAATAAAATTGTATCATAAATTCAATCTACTTATACTCCGTATGTGAAACCTATATATTAGCATAATGTGTACCAAAAATTTCAAGAGAAACAACTCTAATCAAATGTATATTGAATTCCTATTAATTTTAAGTGATTCAAGCTTCTTTTTACAAATGATATATCTCATTGAATGATATTTAGTGTGATATGTTTGATCATTAAATTCATTATTTAATCTACTTTAACATGTAATGCACGAAAACAATCAGAATGAGGATATACAACTTTTTGATTTTAATATCATTTGAATGATAGATCTGTTAGATCAAATAGAGGCATTTACTGATTTCAATGCATTTGCAACATATACATAGCTACATTTATAGCTAGACCTATATTATGTACATTGCACTTCATAAAATACCTTAAAAAAATTCCAT